TCCTATCCTCCATCTCTCCCCCACTCATCCTCCTTTCATTTGCTTCTGTTGTCCTCTACTCAGTCATTCTCCCTCTTTACCCATCTCTCTCTCTGTCTCTCTCTCTCTCTCTCTCTCTCTCATTGACTAAGAGCTGTCATAGCTCATAGACTCCGTGACCTCTTCTCTCCCCTGGACAAAACACTGTACTGACATGTTCAGGTTAAAAGTCACACACATTCAGGTCAAAGGCCACAGAGAAAACTGACAACACGTTCAAGGTGGAAGAGAGAAAATCATATCTTTATTGAAATAAATAAAACATCACTAGACATAATCTGAAGCAAATCATTGATACTATTACAGTTGAAGTCGGAAGTTTACATACACTTAGGTTGGAGTCATTAAAACTTGTTTTTCAACCACTGCACACATTTATTGTTAACAAACTATAGTTTTGGCAAGTCGGTTAGGACATCTACTTTGTGCATGACACAAGTAATTTTTCCAACAATTGTTCACTTACAATTCGCTGTATCACAATTCCAGTGGGTGAGAAGTTTACATACACTAAGTTGACTGTGCCTTTAAACAACTTGGAAAATTCCAGGAAATGATGTCATGGCTTTAGAAGCTACTGATAGGCTAGTTGACATCATTTGAGTCAATTGGAGGTGTACCTGTGGATGTATTTCAAGGCCTACCTTCAAACTCAGTGCCTCTTTGCTTGACATCATGGGAAAATCAAAAGAAATCAGCCAAGACCTCAGAAAAAAAATTGTAGACCTCCACAAGTCTGGTTCATCCTTAGGAGCAAAAACGCCTGAAGGTACCGCATTCATCTGTACAAACAGTAGTACAAAGTATAAACACCATGGGACCACGCAGCCATCATACCGCTCAGGAAGGAGACGCGTTCTGTCTCCTAGAGATAATAATAATAATAATATGCCATTTAGCAGACGCTTTTATCCAAAGCGACTTACAGTCATGCGTGCATACATTTTTGTGTATGGGTGGTCCCGGGAATCGAACCCACTACCTTGGCGTTACAAGCGCCGTGCTCTACCAGCTGAGCTACAGAGGACCACACTTTGGTACGAAAAGTGCAAATCAATCCCAGAACAGCAGCAAAGGACCTTGTGAAGATGCTGAAGGAAACAGGTACAAAAGTATCTATATCCACAGTAAAACGAGTCCTATATCGACATAACCTGAAAGGCCGCTCAGCAAGGAAGAAGCCACTGCTCCAAAACCACCATAAAAAAGCAAGACTACAGTTTGCAACTGCACATGGGGACAAAGATCGTACTTTTTGGGAGAAATGTCCTCTGGTCTGATGAAACAAAAATAGAACTGTTTAGCCATAATGACCATCGTTATGTTTGGAGGAAAAAGGGGGTCGCTTGCAAGCCGAAGAACACCATCCCAACCGTGAAACACGGGGGTGGCAGCATCATGCTGTGGGGATGCATTGCTGCAGGAGGGACTGGTGCACTTCACAAAATAGATGGCATCATGAGGAAGGAAAATTATGTGGATATATTGAAGCAACATCTCAAGACATCAGTCAGGAAGTTAAAGCTTGGTCGCAAATGGGTCTTCCAAATGGACAATGACCCAAGCATACTTCCAAAGTTGTGGCAAAATTGCTTAAGGACAACAAAGTCTAGGTATTGGAGTGGCCCATCACAAAGCCCTGACCTCAATCCTATAGAAAATGTGTGGACAGAACTGAAAAAGCGTGTGTGAGCAAGGAGGCCTACAAACCTGACTCAGTTACACCAGCTCAGTCAGGAGGAATGGCCATAATTCACCCAACTTATTGTGGGAAGCTTGTGGAAGGCTACCCGAAACGTTTGACCCAAGTTAAACAATTTAAAGCCAATGCTACCAAATACTAATTGAGTGTATGTAAACTTCTGACCCACTGGGAATGTGATGAAAGAAATAAAAGCTGAAATAAATCATTCTCTCTACTATTATTCTGACATTTCACATTCTTAAAATAAAGTGGTGATCCTAACTGACCTAAGACAGGGGATTTTTACTAGGATTAAATGTCAGGAATAAAGAGCTTAAATGTATTTGGCTAAGGTGTATGTAAACTTCCGACTTCAACTGTATATTCACCAAGTAGGTAGACGACATGTAATAATAACAATAATATCATAGTCATTTACCTTCTCCATGATGACACTGTGTATTAGACTGACAATAGGTTGGATAACTTGTTTTGGCAGCTTTAGATCAGGCAGTATAGAAGAAAAACAAGATGGCGGCTACAGTCTACAGACCCAATACAATGTCTGCGTAGTCGCTCCCATACCAGGATTCAAACACCCATTTTTCCATTTCAACATATAAAAATACTATGTCCAAATGAAATACAATTATATATATTACAATCTGTTAAGTATTTACCGTTTTGTATCATAATAAAAAGGGCTACATTAGGCTACATAACGCTAAGTAATAAAAAAATCTAAGCAAAAACATTAAATGTTAAACAAATGTTATGCACCTTTCTGTTTTAGTTTTACAACAATATAAATAAAATATTATCAAAGGTACTTTTCTGTGTGGAATTCTCTTTTGCTTATTTCATAATACTGCAGACGTGGTAGACGGAGACTGATTGGACCAGAGAGAGATAGTAGGCGGGGTTTACTCAATGATACAATTATTACCAATTACCATGACAAATATTAAGGACGTTTCTGGCTAAAATCAAACTGGCACATAGCCTCCAATGCCCCTCACCTTTTTAAAGTAGGCCAAAGGGCCTCAGCTGCTCTCTAAAATGCACCCCCTTCCCCCATCTGAACCCTCAAACACCCTCGGCAGCTAGAGGGTAAACTGGCATTGCAGCCCAGTGAAATATACAGTGGGGAAAAAAGTATTTAGTCAGCCACCAATTGTGCAAGTTCTCCCACTTAAAAAGATGAGAGAGGCCTGTAATTTTCATCATAGGTACACGTCAACTATGACAGACAAATTGAGGAAAAAATTTCCAGAAAATCACATTGTAGGATTTTTAATGAATTTATTTGCAAATTATGGTGGAAAATAAGTATTTGGTCAATAACAAAAGTTTCTCAATACTTTGTTATATACCCTTTGTTGGCAATGACACAGGTCAAACGTTTTCTGTAAGTCTTCACAAGGTTTTCACACACTGTTGCTGGTATTTTGGCCCATTCCTCCATGCAGATCTCCTCTAGAGCAGTGATGTTTTGGGGCTGTCGCTGGGCAACACGGACTTTCAACTCCCTCCAAAGATTTTCTATGGGGTTGAGATCTGGAGACTGGCTAGGCCACTCCAGGACCTTGAAATGCTTCTTACGAAGCCACTCCTTCGTTGCCCGGTCGGTGTGTTTGGGATCATTGTCATGCTGAAAGACCCAGCCACGTTTCATCTTCAATGCCCTTGCTGATGGAAGGAGGTTTTCACTCAAAATCTCACGATACATGGCCCCATTCATTCTTTCCTTTACACGGATCAGTCGTCCTGGTCCCTTTGCAGAAAAACAGCCCCAAAGCATGATGTTTCCACCCCCATGCTTCACAGTAGGTATGGTGTTCTTTGGATGCAACTCAGCATTCTTTGTCCTCCAAACACGACGAGTTGAGTTTTTACCAAAAAGTTATATTTTGGTTTCATCTGACCATATAACATTCTCCCAATCCTCTTCTGGATCATCCAAATGCACTCTAGCAAACTTCAGACGGGCCTGGACATGTACTGACTTAAGCAGGGGGACAAGTCTTGCACTGCAGGATTTGAGTCCCTGGCGGCGTAGTGTGTTACTGATGGTAGGCTTTGTTACTTTGGTCCCAGCTCTCTGCAGGTCATTCACTAGGTCCCCCCGTGTGGTTCTGGGATTTTTGTGTGGTTCTAGGTCCCCCCGTGTGTCATTCACTAGTTCCCCCCGTGTGGTTCTAGGTCCCCCCGTGTGGTTCTTGTGATCATTTTGACCCCACGGGGGGAGATCTTGCGTGGAGCCCCAGATCAAGGGAGATTATCAGTGGTCTTGTATGTCTTCCATTTCCTAATAATTGCTCCCACAGTTGATTTCTTCAAACCAAGCTGCTTACCTATTGCAGATTCAGTCTTCCCAGCCTGGTGCAGGTCTAGAATTTTGTTTCTGGTGTCCTTTGACAGCTCTTTGGTCTTGGCCATAGTGGAGTTTGGAGTGTGACTGTTTGAGGTTGTGGACAGGTGTCTTTTATACTGATAACAAGTTCAAACAGGTGCCATTAATACAGGTAACGAGTGGAGGACAGAGGAGCCTCTTAAAGAAGAAGTTACAGGTCTGTGAGAGCCATAAATCTTGCTTGTTTGTAGGTGACCAAATACTTATTTTCCACCATAATTTGCAAATAAATTCATAAAAAATCCTACAATGTGATTTTCTGGAATTTGTTTTCTCAATTTGTCTGTCATAGTTGACGTGTACCTATGATGAAAATTACAGGCCTCTCTCATCTTTTTAAGTGGGAGAACTTGCACAATTGGTGGCTGACTAAATACTTTTTTTCTCCACTGTACACATAGATTAAATGGTAAACTAGCAAAGAAGAGCAGCAGTTTCTCATTTAACAGGAAGAAACCAGAGAAGTGTTTCAATGTTTTCCTGTTGTCAACATGGCTGCCATGCATCACACAGGTTCCTCCACTTAAAATGTTTTGAGCACTTGTAAAAGCAGTGTACAATACAGTATAAATCCAAATAATGACCTTTCAATATAACATTACAAATGTGAGACCACAGTTGACTTTCTTTAGGTAATTGCTGATGAAGATGAAGATGAAGAAGATGAGGTTGGTTGGTTTCGTGTTGGTTGGCCGTCCTTGCCAGGGAAGAACTGTCCTATATTACAAACACTGTTGTCCACAACACACAGACAATGTCCATGTTTTATATATATATATATATACTTTCCTTACAGTGTGTTCAGTACGTCCTCTTCAGCTCACTGCGCTTCACAGGTGTAGTACCTCAACGACTCTACACACACTCCTTGCAGCCGCACTCCACTGCTTTCTCCACGTCCTGGGTGAAGGAGGTTCCGTCGTCGCACTCAAAGGTGTAGCGCCGGCGTCGTACCCTCAGTGGGGCGCAGCACGCAACCCCGGCTGCCGCCCCGCCACCCTGGCAGCCCCCCCGACACTCCACCCAGGAGAAGGGCCGCGTCGTCTGGCAGTTGGTGTGGCCGCGATGCACCCGGTGGAAGTCACGCACCGCCTCACCGCGACACGCTGACTCAACTAGAGATTAGAGGTCAGAGGTGAGAGGGCAGAGGTTAAAGAGGCTGAGTAGGGTGACATCATCAAACACAGTAGTGGTTATTAATGTATCGTCACAATATTGTTTTGAACGTTCTCTTGAGGACTGGTGCCCGACTGAACGTTCTTCTCAATGCATTCTCAATTGGCGCTTATGAACATTATTTCTAAAGTTAATTAGTTTGTCATCATTGTGATGTCGTCAGATTGACTTTAAAATGTAGTATAACGCTAGCTAGCAAAGCATGAAGGGAAAGCACCTACTTTTTGTTAGCTAAAGCTAGCATAGCTAAATATTACTTTACGAACTTTGCTAGCTAATGACATTTGTCTAAATCGTGACGACATAATAATGAAGGCGAAGTTGATTCCTACTAATTGTTTGTCTAATGTAGCAATGGCATCGTATCTCCAAGACCAAACAATCTCTAGCCCCCTGTTAAGAATGACTGGGCACCACTCAACGTCTTGAGAACGCTCATAACAATGGCGTGACGGGACCGAGTGAAAGAGGTGCAACCCATGAATATAATCCAATGTCTCTCCCTGTCACACACACACTCCACCCTCCCTCCACACCTCTCCCCCTCTGTCATAACCTGTATCACAGGTGTTCTCTCCCCTCTCCTCCTATCCTCTCCCTCCATCCTTACCTGTGTCGCATGTGTCCCCAGTGTATCCCGTGTCACAGAGACAGTAGGCCGATCCTCCCTCAGTCAGCTGACAGTGGCCATGTTGGCAGAGCAGCACTGAACACGGCTCGGCTGGCACCGCTGGTACTGGTGGTGCTGTTAGCGCCCCCTGTTGATTACACAGGGTGGCGCGCCAGCCCTCATCACACTCACACCTGTACGACTGAACATCCTGTACCACACACACACCCCTCACACACCTGGGAGAGATGGAGGGAGAGATGGAAGGAGAGGCGGTGATGGAGAGAGGAAGAGAAAAATGCTATAAGAAAAAGACAGTTGGGAAAGTACTCGGACAACACAATCAATTAAACCACTTAATGAGTTACCCCCAAAACAAATCAACATGATAAAACATATGATAACAACCAGCCACATAGACCCACCATAAATCACAACAGACTACAGCCCTTCACCACACACTCTCCAGTCTCCCATCCCCAACCACACGTACTTATTCCCCTGGCATGGGTTAGCCGCGATTGCCGGGGCAACATCTCCCCCAACAAGGCCTCCTCCGATTGGCTGATCACAGTGTGGCCCGCCCCAGTCAGGCTGGCAGTGGCAGAGGGGTCCCTGGGCACCGTCCGGTTGGCAGACTCCGTGGAGGCAGAACAGTTTCCTGCAGGGCTGGCATCCTGGTACCACCCCCGGCTTCAGCACATCAAACAATTTGAATTTGAATTAGAAAAATACTTTATTATTGACGCAGTGTGGAAATGTGTCTTTGGCTTAACAAATAAAATACTAAAACAAATATTTCTGCAACTTCTCGCAACTAGGTTTCTGGGAATATTCCAACTGGAATTTCTGGAAAACCTGGGAATTTGGGGGAAGTTACCAGAATTTTCCTTCCCGTCTCCCACCATACCTTCATAGTGGTCTGGGTGAAGTCCTGCAGCTCGTGGTTGATGTACAGATTTCTGATGCAGCCGTGGAAACTGGAGGAGTTGAGGGGCTGGAAGAGACTCAGAGAGGAGTAGGAGATCTTCTCTGGCATACCTGGAGAGGAGAGCGAGAGCGAGAGAAAGAAGCAGGAGAGGATATATAGGTTAGGAGGAGAGAATAGAGTGGAGTGGAGAAAGAGAGTGACGGAGAGGAGATGAAACCCATATGTCAGGTCTACTACCACCAATCCCCCCCCCCCCCCCGGTATTTCCTGTACTGGATATTAATATTTAACAGGGTGGGGTTAGGGCCTGAACCTAGCTCTCAGATTATGTGTGTGTTTTACGTCTTACCCCCCACGTATAGCGGTGCCTCTCCAGACAGAGGTGAGACCCCTCCCAGACTGTCCAGGGTGGTGGGTGCCCCCCCGTCCACAGACAGGTTCACCATCCGGTCAAAGGTCACCAGCTCCACCGTATGGAAATGCCCGTCGTTCACCGTCTCAGCGCTACGGCAACACCAGAGGTAAGGGGTTAGAGGTCAGAGGTTAGGTGCCGGTGATATTGTATTGTGTTCTGATAGTCGGTGTTTGTGAATAGAATGTAGATGATGCTGGTGTGTGCGTGTGTACCTGTAAATATAGTGTGTGTGTGTGTGTGTGTGTGTGTGTGTGTGTGTGTGTGTGTATGGGCAACCGCAGGGTGCATGTGACGCATCTAGTGCAGTAGTGCCTAGGTAGAGGTAAATTGCATGCCCGCTTACCACGTGCTTGCATACTCTCGCTTACAGCTCACTGCTGCCGGCTAGCCCTTGTGGTGAATTGGGGACAGCTTCATGCACAAGTCTCCCTTTGCCGGTACAAAGCCTCTCCATGACCAAGACTCCTGTCGGACCTCCTTGCGGCGGAACACGTTAACTGGTTGTCTTGAAACTCCAGGCTAATCAGCAGGGGATCTAAGAGCAGCAGTGGGCCCCAGAGATGCATCTGTACAGGCCCACCTCTGTGTGGACACGTCATGGCAGCCATCAACCACTGTCCCGCTTTCTTGTGGGTTAGTCTGGTACGACAAAGGCTAGGGGAGCACACCCTGAGAGAAGCAGCGTGCTGGCGGCACGCGGTAGGCGGACACCGACAGACTGGGGATCTGGCAGCCTCATGCTGCTGTGGAAGATCCTGGTCGTCCTGGGTTTCCCCCCTTGCCACTGGAATCCACCTTCCTACAGTGAAGATGTGCTGTTGGGGATTGCGCACCCTCAGCGGCACTTTAAATAACTTCCTTCGCACAGTTATCCACTTCTGACCTCAGTGAAGCCATCAACCGGAAACCGGACTAAAGTCTGGCGGCGTTGAGGTGTCTGATGACGGGGTCAGGAGTGAATGCACCGGGAGCCCTTAAATCAGACCCAGCGGCACAGGGCTATTATGGTCGCCAGCAGTAGGGACTTGAGTGGCAGCTGCTCTCGGCAGACCCCTGTGTGACTGAGCATCCCTATTTAGGAGCCACACTGCTCACCCCAGCTGAGGAGAGGCCTAGAAAAGGTGGCCTAAAAATTGCCCACTCACTCCATCCTGGATAGGCTACCGCACCTATCGGGAGTTCCACTCAGCGGTCGGAAAATGCTAAAGAAAATAATTCCCCTGAAACTGGCGACATGGAACATCAGAGCTCTTTTGGACACTGACGATAATAGCGATAAACCCAATCGGCGAACAGCTTTGATTGCTGCAGAACTAATGCGCTACAACATTGACCCTTGCTGCCCTGAGTGAGACCAGGTTCCTGGATAAAGGTTCCCTGAAAGAGGAGGGAGAAGGCTACACCTTCTTCTGGAAAGGTTACCCTCCGGTTGGACAACATCAGCACAGTGTGGGACTGGCAATTAAGAACAGCCTTTTATCCAGCCTCACCGAAACACCTGTCGGCATAAGTGAAAGACTCATGTCTCTCCGTATCCCCCTAGCCAAGATGCGTTATGCTACTCTTCTCAGTGCATACGCGCCAACGTTACCATCTGAAAATGAGCCAAAGGACTGCTTCTGTTAGTCACTAGATGAGGCCCTTCACCGTATCCCCGGGAATGACAAGATCTTTCTGCTGGGTGACTTCAAAACTAGGGTGGGACAGAACAACAGGATATGGAGCGGAGTGCTAGGTAGGCATGGTGTTGGCCAGGTCAATGAGAACGGCATGAGACTGCTAACTCTATGTGCAGAGCACAATCTTATTGTCACTAACACCTTGTTCTACCAGAAGAACGTATATAAAACATCATGGATATACCCACGCTCCAAACACTGGCACCTGATCGACTACGTCATAGTGAGACGTTCTGACACTAATGACGTCCTGCTGACACATGCCATGAGGGGTGCAGAATGCTGGGCAGATCACTGTATGATACTGGCTAAACTCCAGGTGAGAATACGTCCCCCCCAACGTCTGCAGAAGTCCAGTAAGAGGCGTCTGCACTGTACCTGGCTTGAGAAAGCTGCAGTAAGGGACGAGTTCTGTCGCTCTCTCGCTGAAAGGCAGAGACCACTCCATCCTGGAAGAACTGCCTGTCCGTCCAACCATTCAAGACCTCAACCATTCGCCAACCTTCCAAGAGGTGTTATCAGCTATCCATTCTCTCAAGAACAACAAGGCTCCTGGCGCTGACAGCATCCCGGCAGAGCTACTTAAGAAGGGAGGTTACTTCTGCACCAGAACGCTCCACCAGTACATCACAGAGGTTTGGTACCGGGAGATCGTCTCCCAACAGTGGCGGGATGCAAACATTATCACTATCTATAAGAACAAGGGTGACAAGTCCATCTGCGGCAACAGCCAGGGGTCCTGGCCAAGGTGATGCTACACAGGCTGGTGAACAACATCACAGAGGAACTGCTGCCAGAATCACAATGCAGCTTCAGAAAGAACAGGAGTACGGTCTACATTATATTCACGGCATGGCAACTCCAGGAGAAGTGCCGTGAACAACATCAGGACCTTTTCTTGGCCTTTGTCGACCTCTCCAAGGCCTTCGACACTGTGAGTAGGGAACTACTATTTGGCTGTCCAGACAAATTTGTCAACATCCTTTGCCAGTTCCATGATGGGATTATGGCTCAGGTGGCCATAGGAGGGCAGGAGTCAGTGGCCTTTGGAGTAAGCATCGGTGTGACGCAGGGGTGCATGCTGGCACCTGTACTCTTTAACATCTTCCTACTATGTGTCACCCAGCTTCTCCACAAGGAGTTTGAGGACAGTAGCGGGGTTGCGGTGGACTTCAGGCTGGATGGAAACCTATTCAACATCAGGAGGCTCCAAGCAACCACCAAGGTTTTGACGGAATGGGTTCTTGAGCTGCAGTATGCTGATGACTGTGTTCTTGTGGCCCACAGTCCAGAAGATCTTTAGTCCGTCCTTGTAGCAGCTGTGAGGGTCTATAGCAGGATGGGACTGTCTATCAACACCACCAAGACAGAGGTGGTCTGCCAATGGATATCCAGCCCTCCACCCACCATGCCTGTCTTCACCATTGAACATTTGTTGATAAAATGCAGGAACCATTGAACACAAATCACTGGCAATAGTCCCGTCCTTCAAATACCTGGGCAGCATCCTCTCAGAGGACTGCAGCATCGACCTCGAAATTCTAAATAGGATCAAGCAAGCATCAGCTACCTTCGGGAAACTCAGACGCAGGGTCTTCCAAAACAGCGATCTCCACCTCCACACTAAAGTCGCCGTCTATCAAGCCGTCTGCATTACCACACTGCTTTACAGTTGTGAAGCCTGGGTCACTTACAGCCGCCACAACAAGTAGCTAGAGCAATTCCACATAAGATGTCTGCAGCGCATCCTGGGAATCACATGGTGCGACCATGTGCCCCATACAGAAATATTTTGCTAAGACCAACTGCAAGAGTATGGAGGCCATGGTCACCCAACACCAACTGTAGATAGTGTGTGTTCCTGTAGACAGTGTGTGTTCCATAGTGTGTGTTCCTGTAGATAGTGTGTGTTCCTGTAGACAGTGTTTGTGTGTGTATAGTGTGTGTTCCTGTAGACAGTGTGTGTTCCTGTAGATAGTGTGTGTTCCTGTAGATAGTGTGTGTTCCTGTAGATTAGTGTGTGTTCCTGTAGACAGTGTGTGTTCCGTAGATAGTGTGTTCCTATAGACAGTGTGTGTTCCTAGATGTGTGTTCCATGTGTTTAGTGTGTGTTCCTGTAGACAGTGTGTGTTCCATAGTGTGTGTTCCTGTAGATAGTGTGTGTTCCTGTAGACAGTGTTTGTTCCATAGTGTGTGTTCCTGTAGATAGTGTGTGTTCCTGTAGACAGTGTGTGTTCCATAGTGTGTGTTCCTGTAGATAGTGTGTGTTCCATGGTGTGTGTTCCTGTAGATAGTGTGTTCTGAGACGTGTTTGTTCCAGTGTGTGTTCCTGTAGATAGTGTGTGTTCCTGTAGACAGTGTGTGTTCCATAGTGTGTGTTCCATAGTGTGTGTTCCTGTAGACAGTGTGTGTGTTCATAGTGTGTGTTCCTGTAGACAGTGTTTGTTCCACAGTGTGTGTTCCTGTATGTGTGTGTTCCTGTAACATGTGTGTTCCATGTGTGTGTTCCTTATAGTGTGTGTTCCTGTAGACAGTGTGTGTTTCATAGTGTGTGTTCTGTAGAGTGTTGTTCCAAGTGTGTGTTCCTGTAGAGTGTTAGTGTGTGTCCGTAAGGGTGTTCCTACATGTGTTTTCCCGTAGAGTGTGTGTTCGGACTGTTTGTCCACAGTTTGTCCTGTGTGTGTTTGTCCGAACTAGTGTGTTCCATATGTGTGTTCCTGTAAAGTGTTGTTCCATAGGTGTGTGTTCCTGTAGATAGTGTGTTCCTGTAGACAGTTGTGTTCCATAGTGTGTTTCTGTAGATAGTGTTGTGTGTGTTCCTGTAGACAGTGTGTGTTCCATAGTGTGTGTTCCTGTAGATTGTGTGTGTTCCTGTAGACAGTGTGTGTTCCTGTAAATAGTGTGTGTTCCATAGTGTGTGTTCCTGTAAATAGTGTGTGTTCCATAGTGTGTGTTCCTGTAAATAGTGTGTGTTCCGTAAAAGTGTGTGTTCCTGTAGATGTGTGTGGTGCTACAGTGTGTGTTCCTGTAAATGTGTTGTCCATAGTGTGTGTTCCTGTAAATAGTGTGTGTTCCATAGTGTGTTTTCCGTGTAACTAGTGGACAAACCTACTACCAGGGTCGATCTGACTCTGTGTCCCTCATGGGTCCACTCTTGGCTTGTTGTCTCCATTATACAGCAGGATACCGTTATCCTCCGCTGTCGACACCTAGGGAACACACACACACACAGGTCAGAATGTGTGTGTGTACACACGTGTGTGTTTTCCTTTGTGTGTGTATGCACATCTGTGTGTGTATGTGTGTGTCTGTATCTATGTCTGTGTGGGCACGTGTGTGTGTTTTCCTCTGTGTGTGTGTGTCTGTTTATAAGTGTGTGTGTGTGTGTTAGTGTGTGCGTTAGGGTGACTACATGTCCTGGATTGTGTGGGACATTTTGTCCCGCTTTTGTCCCTTTGTCTCGCAACTAAACAATAATGTCCCACATTTTATCAACAAATTAAAATAGCACTAATTTACAAAAAAGGTTGATTGGTCCTACTCATTAGATGAGACTTGACATTTCAACCTCTCTTTAGCTGTCACATTGCTCTTATGACAAGATACTGTATGATAAGGACGTGGTGTTGGTGACGTGAAGCTCTTCTTCCAATCATTGTTGAGATCTGATATTCTGGGCAGCGCAAGACGAGACCTAGTCCGATGTCATATCGTCAACCAATCACATTTGTCAAGACCAACCAGAAATGTTTCGTTGGCCAAATATTCCCAGATTTTCATAAAACATTTGCGTGCGGCAAAAGAGTAGGCTACGTGTGCTTCAGTTAGCTTGCTCAGTTCAGTTAGCTCGCTGAGCGCAGCAGGAGGGATATTTGTGTGTGGGGAAAAATGATTCATGTCTAGGCTACACTGTCCCGCAAAATCATCCCATTGTCCGCATTTGGGTATTTTAAATGTGGTCACCCTAATATGTGTGTGTGATTACCTGCAGTGTGATGTTGGCCTGAGGCCAGTTCTTCAGGTCAGACAGCTGTAGGTAAGAATCTCTATTCACGAAGTTCACACTGACCAGCTTCTCACAACGCACACCCTCGAACCCCGGCAGACACTGGCACAGCGCAGTACCGGCTCTGTCTGCACAAGGGGCGCTATTCTGACAGTGAGCCCGCTCACAGGGAGACGGAGGAGGAGGAGGCACCTCACACAACTCACCACTAGGGGGAGGAAGAGGAGGGGAGAATTACTACTGATCACAACATACGACATAGTAAGGACTAAGATCTGGCTCTAACGCCAGAGCAAAGCAGTCCAAACATCTTGAGTCCTGTGGTGTGTTCAACAAGGGAAATAGCTTGCAAACGTTAGCTAACACATTCCATTTGTTTTGTGTTACAGTCTGACAAGGTAGTGTGCTGTGAACGTAAGTGTGTGTTTCTATAACATGTAGTAAGAATAGCAGTCATTTTCACTTAAAAAGCCACTAAAAAGCCACAGTAATCCACACAAAAAATGTGCTACTTGCAGCTTCAAGGTAACATTTAGGAATGTTCATTCAAATTGTTCAACTGAAATTGTTAACATGTTGGCCGCAAACTGAACCCATGTGAAACCCACCTCTTATGTATGACAGTACTGATACAAGGAGAGACTAACTTAGTATGACACATCTATGGCCCTAATAGTTTCCACATTTACACCAGTGTGTGTGTGTGTGTGTCTTACCTGTACCCCTGAGGGCAGGTGCAGGTGTATCCATCTACCTGGTCCACACACACCGCTCCGTTCTGACAGTCCTGATCCTCACACTCATCATAGTCCACACTGCAGTCATCCCCCACGAAGCCTGGGGCACACACACACCTGGACACACACACACTAGAACATGAACATATGTACAAGTGTCTGTGTGTGTGGGGGGGGGGGGGGATTGGGGGTCACCTGGGGCCTGTAGTGGTGCTGCTGCAGGTAGAGTGTTGCTGACAGGGGTTTCTACCTACATGAGAACCACCTCCCGCCCTCCTCGTTCCACACACAACAACCCCTGAAGCGAGATAGAGAGAGAGGTGGGAAGAAAAAAAAAAAGGGGGGGGTGGTGGGGGGGGGGGGGGGGGTGGTTTCTTGGGGGTTTTTCTTTTTTTTTTTTGGGTTTTTTTTGTTCGGGTTTTTTTGGGGGTTTTTTTTTTTTGTTTTTTGTTTTTTGGTTTTTTTTTTTTTTTTTGGTGTTGGGTTTTTTTTTTTAGTTTTTTGTTTTTGGGTTTTTTTTTTTTTTCTTTTTCTTTCTTTTTGTTTTTGGTTTTTTCTTTTTTTTTTTTGGGGGTTTTTTTTCCCCCTTTTTTTTTTTTCTTTTTATTTTTTTTCCTTTTTTTTCTTTTTTTTTTTTTTCTTTCTTTTTTTTTTTTTGTTTCTTTTTTTTTCCTACTTCCCTCCCCTGCCCCCCTTTCCCCTCTCCCCTTTCTCTCTTTTTTCCCCCCCCGTCCTTTTCCCTCTCCCCCTTTCTCTCTCCCTCTCCTTTTTCTCTCTCCCCCCCTCCCCCTCTCTTTCCGGCTTCCGGCGCCCTGGTCTTTGTTTCCACTTTTTTCCCTTTCCTCTCTTTTGGCCCTCCCTCCATCCCTTTTCCGGGGGGGGGGGGGTTGGATTTCGAAAGAAGTTTGGGGGGAGAATTTTAGAGAATTTTATTTTTAAATTTTTCTTAAAGATTTCCAAAAATTTTCTATATTTTAAATTTTCCAGAGGATTTTCTAGAAGAATGTCCAAAGAATGGTTTGAAAAAAAAAATTTCTATAGAATGGTCCGAAAAGATTGTCTTTAAATTTTTAAAGTCTTAAATGTTTGAGAATTGTCTAGAAAAGTCTAGAGAAAAATTTTCTTGAGAATGTCTAGAGGGAAAGTGTATATATCATACCTAAAGGAAGGGGGGACGGAAACGGTGTAGTTGCCCATCCGTCCCCACGGTTTGGGGCCATTCTCACTCCGTGGGCCTCACAAATCATCTACATCCCCCTCACAGAACGGCCCCGGAAACCCCCAGGCACCCAAAAACTGGAGCGGGAAAGACTGGTCAGGGGGGTGTGTGTGTGTGTGGGGTGTTTGTGTGTGTTTTTTTGTGGGGTGGGGCGTGTGTGTGTTACCTGAATCTCCTTTTCCCTTTTTGTCCCCTTATCAGGTTTTCCCCCGTGGGGGGCCCTGGGTTAAAATGGCACACACATCCAAATGGAAATCCCCACATTTTTTCCCAAAACCCTGTAAAAAAACAGCCCCCCCCCCCAAACCCCCACACCCACACACAAACACTTCACAAAACACACCCCCCCACACCCCAAGCCCCCTTCTCAAAATCTCTGTTTAAATTTTTTATAAAATTAAGACCTTTTTATATTTTTTTTCCAATAGGGGAAATTTTCTTTTAAATTTAATACATTTTTTTGGGATTATCAAAACATTAAAAAGGGGTGACATAAAAAACCAAATACTCCAGTCATACCTGGGTTAAAAATTTGGGGGATAGGTTTTATCTCCCGGTTTTATAAAAACCCGGATTATTTTAATAATTATGTTTTTCTTTTTGGTTTTGGGAAAAAAAGGGGGGTTTCTTTCCCCTTAAGCCGGGTTTCACACAACACTTTTAAGAGTTCCACGGGGGATACCCGAAAACACCCCCGTGGTTCTACAAGGGGCCCGAAAAACAAAATGGCCCCAAAACTTAGCCCTGGCCCGCTTTTCCACTTGGGCCTTGGGGCCCAAAAGAGAAAGAATTTGGGAATTTTACTAGAGTCCCTTATTAGCTGAAAAACCCCCTGACATCTTTCCTTTGGGGGCCAAAAGAAGAAGAAATTGACCTTTCACCCCCCTTTTTTTATTTACTCTCTCTCTCTCCTTAATCGAATTTTCTTTCCATTCCCCCTCCTGTCCTTTTTTTATTTTCCCCCCCCTTCTTTTTCCCCCCCAACCCCCCTCTTTCCTTCCCTTCCTCCCTTTTTACAAATCCTTTAGTCCATCTCTCTCCCCCCCCCTTTTCCCATCCCCCCTTCCTTTTTCCCCCCCTCCCCAAACCCCTTACTTTCCCAGACCCTTCAAACTTTGGCCCCAGGTTTTGGTGAAGGGAGCAGGTTTTTTCCCTCCATGGGCCCCTTGGTTTCCGGCCCAGCGGGGATCCAGGCCCTTGTAACCCCTCTTCCTTCACCCAGTCAGGCCCCCGCCACGCAGGAAGAAAAACATTCCAAAAAAAGAAAAAGGGGGGTTGGGACCCGATCGCCCTGGGGGTTAGAGGTTTAGATGTCCAAAGGTTTTAAAGGGGTTAAGGGGTTTGTCAAATCAATTAAAACCCAAAACAGACAGAACCGTAAAATCAGATGAAAGTTTTAAAGGGAGGAAAAAAAGTTGCGGCCCTGCTCTTCTCTGTGTGTGGGGTTTTAAAAAACTTTCCTACCAAAGGGGGGCCCCTCGGGGTCAGAGCTCCCCCAAAATAAAGTTTTAGTTCCACACTTTAAAAAAAACAAAGAGACTGGTATTTTGGCCCTTCCATTTTAGTTCCACACTTTTTAACCCCGAAACTGAATAGGAAAGGGGAAACCCCGAAACCTTTTTTGTTTTGGAAAAAGGAAAATTTTTATAAAGGAAAACAAAACCCGTTTTGGGGGGAGTTTCTCCATACACACACCATATAAATAAACCCCAAAGTATCTGTCTTTTTAAAAAACAAAATTTTTTTATTCCCTGATGTTAATTTATGGGTATGTTTTCAGTAAAAATCAAAGGGAAAAAATGTTTTTTATGTGGGGGGTAGATTATACATTAATAACCCAAGGGTAACCTCTTAGAATATCCCTTCCCCCGTTTTCTCTCCGCCCCTCTCTTTAAAACAAAAGGGCAACAACAGGACCCTCTGTATCACAAATTTTCCCCCCCCTCCCCCCCTCCTCTCCCCCAAAAAATTTTTTCCCCCCCTCCCTCCCCCTCCCCTTCCCCCCCTCCCCTCTCCCCCCCCCCTCTCCCCCTTTTCCCCCCCCCTTCCCTCTCCTCCTCCAAACCCCCCCCCCTTTCCCCCTATTCCCTTCCCCCTCCCTCCCCCTCCCCCTCCCCCCTTTTTCCTTCCCCCCATTTTGTTCTTTATTCCCCCCCCCCCCCCCCCCCTTTTTTTTTTTTTTTTTTCCCCCTTTTCCCCCTTTTTTTTTGTTTTTTTTTTTCTTTGTGCCCCCCCCCCTTTTTTTTTCCCCCCCTTCCCCCCCCCCCCCCCCCCCCCCCCCCCCCCAAAAAAAAAAAAAAAAAAAACCCCCCCCCCCCCCCCCGGGGGCCCCCCCCAAAAAAAAAAAAAAAAAATTTTTTTTTTTTTTTTTTCCCCCCCCCCCCCCCCCCCCCCCCCTTTTTTTTTTTTCCCTTTTTCCCCCCCCCCCCTCCCTTTTTTCCTCCCTCCCCCCCCCTCCCTCCCCCCCTTTTTCCCCCTTTTCCCCTCCCTCCCCCTCCCCCCCCCTCCCTCCCCCCCCCCTTTTTTTCCGGGTACCCCTTCCCCCCCCCCCTTCCCCCCCCTCCCTCCTTTTCCCCCTCTTTCCCCCCCCCCCCCCCGTTTTCTTCCCCCCCTTTCCCCCCTTTTTTGGGGCCCCCCCCCCCCACCCCCCCCCCCCCCCCCCCCCCCCCCCCCCCCCCTTTTTCCCCCCCTTTTTTCCCCCCAAAAATCCAAAAAGGGGTCCACTCCGGGTCAACTTAGAACAGTTTAGTTCAATCAGTTTAAAACAACAAAACGTGTTAGGCATTGGTTCGTTGAGTTATTTTCAGTGTCTGTAGGGTGGGTCCAGGCTTTTGTATTGAAAAAGAAATTCACAGGAAAACCTTTTGGGCACCCATACACACCACTAAACTAACCCACAGACTCTCAATAACAATTGTCTATTCATGAGTTATGTAGGTAAAGTTCAGTACAAAAAGAAATAATGTGTTTAGTGAAAAAATTAAATTAATAATGTCTGTTGAAATTTTTTTTGGTTTCTGGTCCGTGGTTGTTTAAACTCCTTTCCCCCTCCTTTTCCCCCCTTTTTCTTTTTCTCCCTTTTCTACCCCCCCCTTTTTCCCCCCCCCTTCCCCTTTCCCCTTTTCCCCCCCCCCCCCCCCCCCTTTTTTAACCCCCCTTTTCGCCTCCTCCCTCCCTCTCTCTCCTCCCTCTCTCTCTCCTCCCTCCCTCTCTCTCCTCCTCGCTCCCTCTCTCTCTCCTCTCTCTGCGCCCTCCCTCTCTCTCCTACTCTCTCCTCCCTCCCTCCCTCCCCTCTCTCCTCCCATCCCTCTCCTCTCCTCTCTCTCCTCTCCTCCTCCCTCCCCCTCCCTCTCTCTCCTCATCCTCTCTCTCCTCCTCCCCCGCTCTCTCTCCTCTCTCTGCCCCTACCTCCCTCCCTCCCGTCCCTCCCTCCCTCTCTCTTCCTCCCTCCCCTCTCCTCTCTCTCTCTCTCCCTCTCTCGCCTCTCTCTCCTCTCCTCTCTCTCCCTCTCTCCTCCCGTCCCTCTCTCTCCTCTCCTCTCCTCCTTCCCTCCCTTCTTCTTCCTCTCTCTGCTCCCCCTCCCTCTCTCGTCCTCTCTCCATCCTCTCTCTCCTCTCTCTCCTCCTCCTCTCTCTCCTCCCCCCTCTCTCTCTCTCTCCTCCCTCCCTTCCCCCCCTCTCTCCTCCCCCCTCCCTCCTCCCTCTTCTCTCCTCCCTCCTCCACTCCGACCCTTTTAGCTTGTCCCAGACAGGTCACGCTTCATTGAACACACCCACACCCTCACTCGTGTGTGTCTTTATTGCCAATCCAATATCACGCCCTCTGATTGGGAAAGCACTTGACTCTGACAGAGAGAGGAGATGGAGATGGTGCAAGTGGTCACTGCTAAGAGTGTGTGTCTGAGTGGGATAATGCACACACACACACACACACACACACAAACACTCACAGGAAACATACACACACAGGAAACATACACACACTGGACACATACACACACTGGACACATACACACACACACACAAACACTCACAGGTGAGACAGGGAGGCCACATCACTGAAGATCCCCTCCTGTAGTTCAGAGATGTCGTTACCATGAAGAGATCTGGGACAGAGCAACACAAAACATTAAGGCTATATGTGTATGTGTGTGTGTACACGTGTGTGTGTGTGTGTGTGTGTGTGTGTAGGTGGGTCCTTACAGCAGTCTGAGAGAGCGTAGTCCAGCCAGGGCCAGAGGAGGGATGCAGCGTAAGTGTTGTAACTCAGGATGCTGGAACACACAATAACACAGTCAGCAGAAGAACACACACAGAGACATTATTAGATGACCAACATTCTACAGTTCTAATATGACATTATATGACAATACACTAGTCCAGATACAGTGTAAGGATGATGAACATGAGGTGAAGTCTTTTCAAAAGAATACAAGAATTGAAATAATATAATTGTTTTTCTTATTTTTTGCAGAGAATTCTCATTAGAATAATTATAATTCTCGTGTGGGTTTGTTTTCCCCCTTTGTGTGGTGTGTGTGTGTGTGTGTGTGTGTGTGTGAGAGACTCACAGGGTGGTGAGCTGGCTCATATTGGAGAAGGAGGAGTCAGACAGGGAGCTGATTCTGTTGTTACTCAGATCTCTGGAACAACAAGGGTTAAAAACAATCACTACTTAAACAGAATGACTTTATGTTAAAAACAATCACTACTTAAACAGAATGACTTTATGGTTAAAAACAATCAATACTTAAACAGAATGACTTTATGTTAAAACAATCACTACTTAAACAGAATGACTTTATGTTAAAAACAATCACTACTTAAACAGAATGACTTATGTTAAAAACAATCACTACTTAAACAGAATGACTTTATGTTAAAAACAATCACTACTTAAACAGAATGACTTTATGTTAAAAACAATCACTACTTAAACAGAATGACTTTATGTTAAAAACAATCACTACTTAAACAGAATGACTATGTTAAAAACAATCACTACTTAAACAGAATTACTTTACGTTAAAAACAATCACTACTTAAATATAATTACTATGTTAAAAACAATCACTAATTAAGCAGAATGACTTTACATTAAAAACAATCACTACTTAAACAGAATGCCTTTATGTTAAAAACAATCAATACTTTAGATCCAGTTACCTACACAGGCTGGATTCTACATAGACTGTGTCCCAATTAAATGGTACCCTATTCCCTATATAGGGTACTACTTAGGACCAGAGCCTAGGCCATGGTCAAAAGTAGTGCACTACATAGGGAATGGGGTGCCATCTGAGACGTAGCCAAACTGTACATGCAGTTTAATATGTATCATCAGACACACAGCAGCAACCCCTCCTCCTATACACTTCATATCCCATCTAAGCAGAATAAAGGGGTTTTGTGTCAAATGGAGGTGTTAAGTGTATAACTATTAACCCACACTAGTCTATCAGAGGTATCTATGAGCTGGTGTGTTGTGGATTGGATAATGCTGTTGTTGACTGGAGTGGAGTCAAGTGCAGAGCAGGCTCCATATCGCCCCCTGGTGGTCATGGTTACAAATGGAACTGGAGAGAGACCACTATACCATCCTGGTCCTAGAGAGCTACATTGTGTACATGTTTTTGTTCCAGCCCAGCCCTAAAACAACCAATTAAGCTAATGAAGGTCTGTTGTGCTGGGTTGTAACAAAAGACTGTACACTCTGTAGGAACCAGGACCATGGTTGGTGACCACTAGGGCACAATAAACTGGCGTACAATTCACTATCAGTGAGAGGATCAGTAACACAGTAATGGGGAACTAAGTCCAGACACACCACTGCCCATGCAGTAACAGACACAGTAATGGGGAACTAAGTCCAGACACACCACTGACCATGCAGTAACAGACACAGTAATGGGGAACTAAGTCCAGACACACCACTGCCCATGCAGTAACAGACACAGTAACAGACAGTAATAGTTAACTCACAACAGACACAGTAACAGACACAGTAACAGACACAGTAACAGGCACAGTAACAGACACAGTAACATGCACACTAACAGACACACTAACAGACACAGTAACAGACACACTAACCGACACAGTAACAGACACACTAACCAACACAGTAACAGACACACTAACAGAACCAGTATAACCATGCCACATAACAGACACATAATGGAACTACACCAACAGACATGTTACATGCAGTAACGACCAGTGAACTGGTTCAACCAACCACTGGCAGGAAGGAAGGACACTGGGTTACAATGGAATTTCCCATCCAGATATCTGAGAGGAGGAGGAGAGGACACTGTGGTTAAACAAAGTAACTAAGTTATACCACCTACTAGTCAGTAAGTCAGTATGCCTTGTCCTAGCCAGAACAGCCTATAGGGTTATACCTACCTATTACACATAATACTAACTACTAACTGGTGAACTGAGCATGTAAGAAAAGTGTATTACAGATCTCTAAGCCCTAACCCCTAGCACCCTTCCCTTTGTCCCCTGCCCCCTTGCCCTGACCCCTGACCTCTAACCCCAGTCTGTGACTTACAGTTCAGTGACGTTGCGGGGCAGCCCCTTGGGCAGGGCCTGGAGGTGTTTGTTACTACAGCGGACCACCGTCTCGGTACAGGTACACTCACTGGGACACTGAGGACGAGCTACACAGCTACTGTCATCCAATACTGCACCTGGGACAGAAGGGAGAGAGTACTTTCCATATTCTGAAATTGAATATACTTATATCCATCTCACTTTCGATCAATGAAATCATCAAATCTCTATGTATCCTTGTGTGTGATGTGTGTTACTGTGTGATTGTGTGTGTGTCGTACCGTCCTGGCAGCGGAAGTCTGCTGCTGCTACGTCCTGCAGTGGGATCTCTCTGAGGAAGGAGGGGCTCTGGCAGCGAGGGTTCCCCGTTACGATTCGTCTAGAACGAAGCCACGCCCCCAACCAGGCCAGACGACAGTCACAGTTAAACGGGTTGGCCAACAGGTTCCTGAGGGAGGTAGGGAGAAAGAGAGAGGGGGGAAGCGAGCGAGAGAGAGAGAGGCAGTCAGTCAATAACAGAGTTCTAAAACTCTTCAAGGAAGATTTGTGAATGTGTGTATGTGTGTCTTACAGTGTAGAGAGGTTGGGCAGTGTGTCGAAGGCCCCAGGCATTATGGTGTGGAGCTGGTTGTCATAAAGAGACAACAGGCGGACGTTGGTCAGACCAGTGAAGCTGCCGTTATGGATACAGCTGATACGGTTGTTCCTCAACATCCTACAACACACAGAGAAACAGTAGTCATTGGTGAGGACACCATTTTATATCGATGACAACAATTATCCTTCCACTATAGATTGTGATAATGATGAAGACAATGATGATACATATAACAGAATAATAAAATATACATATATGAGTTATATACATTTATAAACTGGGTGGGTCGGGCCCTGAATGCTGATTGGCTGACAGCCGTGGTATATCAGACCATATACAGTGGGGGAAAAAAGTATTTAGTCAGCCACCAATTGTGCAAGTTCTCCCACTTAAAAAGATGAGAGAGGCCTGTAATTTTCATCATAGGTACACGTCAACAATGACAGACAAATTGAGATTTTTTTTCTCCAGAAAATCACATTGTAGGATTTTTAATGAATTTATTTGCAAATTATGGTGGAAAATAAGTATTTGGTCACCTACAAACAAGCAAGATTTCTGGCTCTCACAGACCTGTAACTTCTTCTTTAAGAGGCTCCTCTGTCCTCCATTCATTACCTGTATTAATGGCACCTGTTTGAACTTGTTATCAGTATAAAAGACACCTGTCCACAACCTCAAACAGTCACACTACAAACTCCACTATGGCCAAGACCAAAGAGCTGACAAAGGACACCAGAAACAAAATTGTAGACCTGCACCAGGCTGGGAAGACTGAATCTGCAATAGGTAAGCAGCTTGGTTTGAAGAAATCAACTGTGGGAGCAATTATTAGGAAATGGAAGACATACAAGACCACTGATAATCTCCCTCGATCTGGGGCTCCACGCAAGATCTCACCCCGTGGGGTCAAAATGATCACAAGAACGGTGAGCAAAAATCCCAGAACCACACGGGGGGACCTAGTGAATGACCTGCAGAGAGCTGGGACCAAAGTAACAAAGCCTACCATCAGTAACACACTACGCCGCCAGGGACTCAAATCCTGCAGTGCAAGACGTGTCTCCCTGCTTAAGCCAGTACATGTCCAGGCCCGTCTGAAGTTCGCTAGAGTGCATTTGGATGATCCAGAAGAGGATTGGGAGAATGTCATATGGTCAGATGAAACCAAAATAGAACTTTTTGAAAAAAACTCAACTCGTCGTGTTTGGAGGACAAAGAATGCTGAGTTGCATCCAAAGAACACCATACCTACTGTGAAGCATGGGGGTGGAAACATCATGCTTTGGGGCTGTTTTTCTGCAAAGGGACCAGGACGACTGATCCGTGTAAAGGAAAGAATGAATGGGGCCATGTATCGTGAGATTTTGAGTGAAAACCTCCTTCCATCAGCAAGGGCATTGAAGATGAAACGTGGCTGGGTCTTTCAGCATGACAATGATCCCAAACACACCGCCCGGGCAACGAAGGAGTGGCTTCGTAAGAAGCATTTCAAGGTCCTGGAGTGGCCTAGCCAGTCTCCAGATCTCAACCCCATAGAAAATCTTTGGAGGGAGTTGAAAGTCTGTGTTGCCCAGCGACAGCCCCAAAACATCACTGCTCTAGAGGAGATCTGCATGGAGGAATGGGCCAAAATACCAGCAACAGTGTGTGAAAACCTTGTGAAGACTTACAGAAAACGTTTGACCTGTGTCATTGCCAACAAAGGGTATATAACAAAGTATTGAGAAACTTTTGTTATTGACCAAATACTTATTTTCCACCATAATTTGCAAATAAATTCATTAAAAATCCTACAATGTGATTTTCTGGATTTTTTTTACTCATTTTGTCTGTCATAGTTGACGTGTACCTATGATGAAAATTACAGGCCTCTCTCATCTTTTTAAGTGGGAGAACTTGCACAATTGGTGGCTGACTAAATACTTTTTTTCCCCACTGTACCACGGGTATGATAAAACATGTATTTTTTACTGCTCTAATTACGCTGGTAATCAGTTTATAATAGCAATAAGGCTCCTCGGGGGTTTGTGGTATATGGCCAATATACCACGGCTAAGGATTGTGTCCAGACAATCCGCAGTGCATCGTACATAAGAACAGTCCTTAGCCGTGGTATATTTGGCCATATACCACACCCCTCGGGCCTTATTACTTAAATAATTATGATGAAGATGGAAATGGTGACTATGAAAACGATGCTGCTGATGATAATGATGATGATGCTGAAGGTGCTAACTCACAGCATGCGGAGGCCGTCCATGCCCCTGAACATGGTCCCTCTGACAGAGTCCAGGTGATTGGCTGTCAGGTGGAGCTCCACCACAGACCCCGCCCCCTCAAACACTCCGTCTTCGATCTCTGAGATCTTGTTGTTGCTAAGGTTACTGAAAAACACAGATTATGCTTGTTACAAACAACAAACCAATGGTCAACTGAATTATCCAATAACATACATGATATGTGGCCTTTTATGGTTACTAATGAATAGATATGAATGCCTTTTAGATATTTGTTTGAAATATTATGCCTTGTTACACCTTATCAGCAGTTACAGTATGTTTATTAATTATATTATTCATATTATATTATTATTAAAATGTTTATGAATTAATATGATGAATTAATAACAAAAAAAGGAACAATGGTGGTTAACTTAACACTTTAGATGGTAAATTGAGAGAACATACATTTTCTTGAGCTGAGAGAGGGTCTTGAAGACGCCGGTGGCTTCCAGCACTGAGATGTCATTGTTGTTGAGACGACTGAGACAGGAGGAGAAAACTCAGAGAACAGACATAAAGCAGCAATAGATAACAACATTATACTTTGTGTGTGTGTGTGTGTGTGTGTGTGTGTGTGTGTATGTGTGTGTGTGTGTGTGTGTGTGTGTGTGTGTGTGTCCTTACAGCTCGGTGGTAGAGGCAGGTAGGTGTTCGGGGAACTTGGTGAGGCGGAGGTTAGAGCAGTCCACCACGTTAGCTTCACAGCGACACTTAGCAGGACACACTGGTTTACTGTTACACTCCTTATTCAGACGGGTGTCTTCTGTATCTGGACACAATCAACACACATAGAACATACTGTATTATCACATAGAACAGACTGTATTATCAGATAGAACATACTGTATTATCACATAGAACATACTGTATTGTCACATAGAACAGACTGTATTATCACATAGAACAGACTGTATTATCACATAGAACAGACTGTATTATCACATAGAACATACTGTATTATCACATAAAACATACTGTATTATCACATAGAACAGACTGTATTATCACATAGAACAGACTGTATTATCACATAGAACAGACAGTATTATCACATAGAACAGACTGTATTATCACATAGAACAGACAGTATTATCACATAGAACATACTGTATTATCACATATAACAGACTGTATTATCACACAGAACAGACTGTATTATCACATAGAACTGACTGTATTATCACACAGAACAGACTGTATTATCACATAGAACAGACTGTATTATCACATAGAACAGACTGTATTATCACATAGAACAGACTGTATTATCACATAGAACAGACTGTATTATCACATATAACAGACTGTATTATCACACAGAACAGACTGTATTATCACATATAACATACTGTATTTACATATACTATATAACACACATAGAATTAGGGTTGCAAATGTCCGGTAACTTTCACAAATGTCCAAAGTTTTCCAGAAACCCAGACTGGAAATGTACTGGAATCAGGAGGGAATAAGAAGGAAACCTGGGAATTTCGGGAAAATTACCGGAACTTTGCAACCCTACATAGAACACAGTGTATTATTTTCACATGCATACCCACTCACTGTTTAGCTTCCAACATGCCTTGACACAACACAGAAGTCACAGTTCATTTGACATGCTATATATTTCACACAATGTGCAGGACAGATACAGATATACAGTATACCATACTATGTCTATACAGAAGTACATATACAGATATATACAACTAGCACACACATACCTGGGATGTGGTACTGCTCCTTGGCTACCATGGAAACAGAAAAACAAGTTAAGTTGACTGACAGTTTAAGGAGGAAGGCATCAGCATGTAGAATATTCATATATAGAAAGCGGTAGCTTTGTGATTTGTCAAATGTTTGTTTTTCTACTTTAATAAATACTGTATATATATATATATATATATATATATATATATATATATATATATATATATACACACACACACACACAGTGGGGAGAACAAGTATTTGATACACTTTTTTTTCCTACTTACAAAGCATATAGAGGTCTGTAATTTTTATCATAGGTACACTTCAACTGTGAGAGACGGAATCTAAAACAAAAATCCAGAAAATCACATTGTATGATTTTTAAGTAATTCATTTGCATTTTATTGCATGACATAAGTATTTGATACATCAGAAAAGCAGAACTTAATATTTGGTACAGAAACCTTTGTTTGCAATTACAGAGATCATACGTTTCATGTAGGTCTTGACCAGGTTTGCACACACTGCAGCAGGGATTTTGGCCCACTCCTCCATGCAGACCTTCTCCAGATCCTTCAGGTTTCGGGGCTGTCGCTGGGCAATACGGACTTTCAGCTCCCTCCAACGATTTTCTATTGGGTTCAGGTCTGGAGACTGGCTAGGCCACTCCATGACCTTGAGATGCTTCTTACAGAGCCACTCCTTAGTTGCCCTGGCTGTGTGTTTCGGGTCGTTGTCATGCTGGAAGACCCAGCCACGACCCATCTTCAATGCTCTTACTGAGGGAAGGAGGTTGTTGGCCAAGATCTCGCGATACATGGCCCCATCCATCCTCCCCTCAATACGGTGCAGTCGTCCTGTCCCCTTTGCAGAAAAGCATCCCCAAAGAATGATGTTTCCACCTCCATGCTTCACGGTTGGGATGGTGTTCTTGGGGATGTACTCATCCTTCTTATTCCTCCAAACACGGCGAGTGGAGTTTAGACATTATCAGACCACATGACCTTCTCCCATTCCTCCTCTGGATCATCCAGATGGTCATTGGCTAACTTCAAACGGGCCTGGACATGCGCTGGCTTGAGCAGGGGGACCTTGCGTGCGCTGCAGGATTTTAATCCATGACGGCGTAGTGTGTTACTAATGGTTTTCTTTGAGACTGTGGTCCCAGCTCTCTTCAGGTCATTGACCAGGTCCTGCCGTGTAGTTTTGGGCTGATCCCTCACCTTCCTCATGATCATTGAGGCACCACGAGGTGAGATCTTGCATGGAGCCCCAGACCGAGGGTGATTGATCGTCATCTTGAACTTCTTCCATTTTCTAATAATTGCGCCAACAGTTGTTGCCTTCTCACCAAGCTGTTTGCCTATTGTCCTGTAGCCCATCCCAGCCTTGTGCAGGTCTACAATTTTATCCCTGATGTCCTTACACAGCTCTCTGGTCTTGGCCATTGTGGAGAGGTTGGAGTCTGTTTGATTGAGTGTGTGGACAGGTGTCTTTTATACAGGTAACGAGTTCAAACATGTGCAGTTAATACAGGTAATGAGTGGAGAACAGGAGGGCTTCTTAAAGAAAAACTAACAGGTCTGTGAGAGCCAGAATTCTTACTGGTTGGTAGGTGATCAAATACTTATGTCATGCAATAAAATGTAAATTAATTACTTAAAAATCATACAATGTGATTTTCTGGATAAAAATTACAGACCTCTACATTCTTTGTAAGTAGGAAAACCTGCAAAATCGGCAGTGTATCAAATACTTGTTCTCCCCACTGTATATATATATATATATATGATGAAAAAGAAAGCAGTAGCTCCTGACCCTGTAACAGAAAACAACAGGTCATCTCCATGGTATTATGGTTTAATGTAACCCTATGTCATGCCTTATAACCGCTCATAACCTGGTCCAGCTCTAAAGCACACAGATCAAGGAGCCGTTACTGCTTTCACTGTAGCTGGGTTGGCAGATAACGCTGAGATAACGCTGAGGTAACACTGGCAGATAACGCTGTGACAATGCTGAGATAACGCTGGCAGATAACGCTGAGATAATGCTGAGATAACGCTGGCAGACAACGCTGGCAGATAACGCTGAGACAACGCTGGCAGATAATGCTGAGATAACACGGGCAGATAACGCTGAGATAATGCCAAGACAACACTGGCAGATAACGCTGAGATAATGCTGAGACAACACTGGTAGATAACGCTGAGATAATGCTGAGATAACGCTGGCAGATAACGCTGGCAGCTGAAGGGAAAGAGGGCCGTGTGTGTGATGGGAGGGTTGAGTTGGAATTGGGACTGGCATAAGTTGGAACAAAGTCATGTAGCTAGACACACACACACACGTACGCACACTCACAGACAGTCAGACGACCACAGACAGACAGACAGACATACACACACACACACCAGAGCAGCGGAACTTCTTGCTCTTGATCTGCCCAATGCGTTTGTTGGCCAGTCTGCGTGGGCTGGCACAGCGGGCACCGCTGGTCTCTATGGGGTTGGACCTCAGGTAGTCTGCCAGCCATTTCAGGTTACAGTCACACACAAACGGGTTCTGGGCCAGGTGACTAGGGGAAGAGAGGGGTCAGAGGTCAGGTTTTAAAAGAATATGGAGGGCCCAAACACTTCTGGTGTTGTTTCTACCTGGTAGTTAATTGCACTCACCTGGTGTCCCAGGTCTGAATTAGTCCCTGATTAGAAGGAGCGGATGAAAGCCAGAAGTGTTTGGGCCTCCAGGACCCACATGAACAGCCCTGATCTAATACTATATGGATGTGAAGACTTCATCTGTATGTAGGATTGAAAATGTATGTAAGCCTGTGTGGGTATTGTATTTGACAGTACACCTATGCATACCACAGTGTCTGTATACTGTGAGGGGGTGTGAAGCTGAGTGTGTGTGTGACTCACAGTGTTTGTATACTGTGTAGGGGTGTGAAGGTTCCTTTAGCCAGGGTCTGGATCTTGTTGTCATAGAGAGACAGCAGAGCTAGATTCTCTAGGTCCTGGAAGGCTGTGGCTCGAATACAGTGGATCTTATTGGCATTCAGGAGACTGGGAGAGAGAGAGAGAGAGAGAGAGAGAGATGGGGAGAGAGAGAGAGAGGATGGAGAAAGAGAGCGAGAGGGGGGGAGAAAGAGAGGGAGAGAGAGAGAGGGAGAGACAGGGAGAGAGACAGGGGGTGGGAGGGATGTAGGTAGATAGAGGAGGATGGAGGAGGGAGTGAGGGAGTGGAGGGAGGGAGGGGTAGGGAGGGGAGGGAGGGAGGGAGGGAAGTTCAGTTCCTAAACTAAAAGCACATATACTGTTTATCGGGCTCTGGTCTAAATTAGTGCATTATATAGGGAATAGGGTATGATTTAGGACGTAAACAGTATAGTGCACTACATAGGGAATAGGGTACAATTTAGGAAGTAGACAGTATAGTACTTACAGCAGTTCCAGAGAGCTGAGTCCCTCAAACAGTCCTCTGGGGAGATCTGTGATCTTATTACCATACAGGACCCTGCAGAGACCATATAGAATAAGACTCAGTACTATACCAGCAAAACCATGACAATATTAGACAACATAGAGCTCAGGATTCTATGTCCCCATCTGGCTCATATCATTCATAAGAGGGAACTGGAACACACACTAAAGGCACGGCACGGACCCATTCATCCCAGACAGGGCTATCCCTTAAGGGGACACTTACCAACTACCAACCCCCTCCTCCCCTGGACCCCCACAGAAAACAAACACACACACACACACACTCTCCCAGACCTCCCACTGAGGCTGATTCAGTAGGGCATATATAATAAGGACTGTCTGTTTAACTCTATATAAACACTATACATTATTCACAATGATATATGCACACACACACACTCACTCATGATCATGAATATACTACAGACATGTATAACACAGACAGAGACATGTCAACACATCCGTTAGTACACACAGACTGACAGATACACTGACACACAGAGAGAAAGACACACACACACACACACACACACACACACACAGACATACACACACACAGACATACACACACACAAACAGACATACACACACACACAGACATACACACACACACACAGACATACACTGATGGCGACACACAGACACACACCGACGCATACACACTCACAGCGAGTTGAGGGCTCTCAGGCCTTGGAAAACATCGGGGGCGATCTCTGATATCTGATTGTTACTCAGATCTCTGGGAGGAAGGAAAAACAACTGTGTTACAGTGAGAACCATGCCCTTTGACCTCACACTATTTGACATCACCACTTAATGACATCGCATATTCTTAACCGTCTGCGTCCCAAATGGCACACTATTCCCTATATAGTGCACTACTTTTGACCAGAGCCAATAGGAGTCGGGTCTAAAGTAGTGCCCTATGTAGAGAATAGGGTGCCATTTCTATTTGGGACGCACCCTATAACCCTGGTGAGATGATATAAAGCATGCAGAAGAGAAGAGACACAAGAGGACCAGGCTAAGGGGAGCTCTCCTGGAATCTAGCCCACAGAAGAGCTCCCATGTTGGTAGAGGTCAAAGGTGGAAGGTCAGGGGTTGACTAGTTACATTCTGCGCAGCTTCTTGTAGGAGGTGAAGGCTCCAGGAGGAACTGACTTGATACCATTCTGCTCCAGACGACTAGGAGGGAGAGAGAGTGGGAGGGAGAGAGAGGGGAGGGAGAGAGAGGGAGGGAGAGAGAGGGGAGAGAGAGAGGGGGGAGAGAGAGAGGACTGTATCGAGGAGAGGGAGGAGTAGAGAGAGGCGAGGAGGGAGAGAGAGTTTTTGGGTGCTTTTTCTCTCGCTCTGTGGTGATCTCTTTTTCTTCTGCTGCCTCTTGTCTGTTCGTTACTCGGTTGGTTCGTGTGCGCTCTCTCGTCGTATGTCGTTATTGTCTCGTATGTCTGTCGCTATTGCCTTTCTTTGTCTCTCGATGTTAAGAGCGTAGTGGACGAGGCGGATGAGTGGGAGTGATTGACAGAGATTGAGAGATATATAGAGAAAGAGAGTATTTCTTGCATTATTTGTTCAGCAGTCCAACATACGAGTCACTCCTAAAAGTGTCACTGTGAATATGTAGACAGCTTTCTCTATCGCTTTCTCTATCTCTTTCTCTCTTTCTCTCGCTCTCTCTCTGTGTGTAAGTATGTATGTGTTTTGTGTGTAAGTATGTATGTGTTTTGTGTGTGAGAGAGGCAATGTTGAGGGTATCAGACACAGTTTGATGGTTTGACATATTTGTGTGACTGGAGCCGTTAGCTGACCAGGGGAATGCTCACCTGTTAGACTGCCAAACCACTCAGAGACTGCAGCATTACACTACTAACCCCTCTGTCTGTCTTTCTTTCCTTCTATCTGTCTTTCTCTCTCCCCTTCTATCTGTCTTTCTCTCTCCTTATATCTGTCTTTCTGTCTCTCCTTCTATCTCTGTCTCTCCTTCTATCTCTGTCTCTCCTATCTGTCTCTCTCCCTTCTGTCTGTCTGTCTCTCCTATCTCTTTCTCTCTCTCTCCTATCTATTCTTCTTCTGAGAAAGTCGTAGAAAGTCCCTCTTTCTCTCCCTAACCTCAAACACTTTCTACTATTTCCTCATCCTCCTCTCACCATCCCGCTCTCTCTTTTTCTCTCCCTCCTGTCTGAGTGAGAGAGAGAGTGTGTGTGTGTGTCCATGATCATGCGTGTACATGTGTGTGTTTCCTTCAGGTCTAAGAGGTTAAACCCAGGGAGATGTTAGGATGAGAGATTCTATATGCTGTGGTTATTCTACATGGTGTGGTTATTCTACATGGTGTGGTTATTCTACATGGTTGTGGTTATTCTACATGGTGTGGTTATTCTATATGCTGTGGTTATTCTACATGGTGTGGTTTATCTACTGGGGTGGTGATTTCTACATGGGTGGTTTATTTCTAAAATCTGCTTGTGGTTATTTCTACAGGTGTGGTATTCTACATGGTGTGGAAGCGGTATGGCATGGGCCCTTGTATGTTTATAAAATTAAAAAAACTAGCTTTGTGTGTCTTGTTGATCGTGTGTGTCTTGTTGACTGTGTGTGGTCTTGTTGACTGTGTGTGGTCCATGCTACTGTGTTGAAATAGAAGAAACTACTTGTACTGACTGTGTGTGTTCCTTGTTTGACCGTGTTGTTGTCATGCTGACACGCGTGCAGTACTCTTCACATCTCATCTGGCTTTCAGTCAGGCATGTGGAGCAGGTATGGGCGTGAGGGAGCCTTGCCCTCTAGCTTTGTGCCTCTCTGCTTCTAGCGACTACTACACTTCTACGATGTTGTTACTACAGGAACACATGGGAGGACAGGAGCCAGACGCCAGGCTACACGGCTGGACAAACGCACTGTCACTGTGACCTTGATAGATAGAGAGATATCGAGCGAGATAAAGAGAGAGCTAGATAGCGCATACATAGCGAGCTAGAGCGCTAGAACGTCAGATCGAGATATCGCGTCGATAAGATAGAGGCTATAGAGATAACGATACTCTATCGCTCTCTCCCGATATCGGCGCGGAGCGGATAGCGATAGAGCGAGATGGGAAGAAAGATATAGGCGATAGAGAGAGAGCGAGACAAAAGAGAGATAAAGCGATAGATAAGAGGAGAGAATCGCTAGAGAAGAGAGAGGAGACCGAGAGAGACGAGAGATCATCTCTAGACTTTAGAGTTAGTTACTTTCTATCGAGTCTATCTATCTCTCAAACTATCTAAAGATCTCTCTATAAATAGAGATCCCTATAGATACTTCTATATTGAGAGCGATTGATTATTGTGTATTATTGTATCATTAGTAGTTTCTATGAAAATACCAGGTGATTTCTGTACAGTAAATAAAAGTGATACCAAGGGAAGGACATAGCATAGAAAGGCTCCACACAGATTGTCTTCAAACATGAGGAGTCAAATTCTAGTGCTGTATCTGAGCTGGCGAACCTTCTGACCCTGTTTCTTACTTAGCAGTGGAACCGGCTACTGACGTGAACCTCTTTGACCTATCAGTTAACAGTTCTTACTGAGGCAGTGAATTTGTCTTACCTGAGCAGGTAACGCGTTTCTTCTTGCGTTCAGCAGGTAGTCTCTTAGAGGTTGGAAGGGGAGCTGCACTGTGTGTACAGACCCAGGGTGGGTCTCTGTCTCAGCCAAGGAGACAACCAGGACAGGTGACAGTCACACCTCAGACTGTTAGAGTGGAGACGACTGGAGGGAGGAAGAAGAAGAGAAGAAGTAGAAGGTATTTGTTCAGTACGTTGTGCTCTTAGTGGGATCATGACTCAATAGAATTAGAATTCATAACAGTAAAATAAGGAGTTTGTCCACTGTACCAGGATGTCCAAAGGAAATGTGTATTGCGCTTTCTCCCAACCCCTCTGAAAGACACACAGAGAGGTTGGAGTAGAGGGAAACCACTTGGAGAGAGAGAAGTGGGGCTCACTTACCCATCTCTCACTGAGCCTCTCACACCAAACCAAAATCACACCCATGCGCGAACACGATCACTCAATCACACACACCAGTTTCATCACTGTTGTAACCCCATACTGTTGTAATAACCCCATACTGTTGTAATAACCCCATACTGTTGTAACCCCATACTGTAATAACCCCATACTGTTGTAACCCCATACTGTTGTGACCCCATACTGTTGTAACCCCATACTGTTGTAATAACCATACTGTTTGTCACCCCTACTGTTGTAATAACCCCATACTGTTGAATAATAACGCCATACTGTTGTAATAACCCCATACTGTTGTAACCCCATACTGTTGTAATAACCCCATACTGTTGTAATAACCCCATACTGTTGTAATAACCCCATACTGTTGTAATAACCCCATACTGTTGTAATAACCCCATACTGTTGTAATAACCCCATACTGTTGTTGTACCCCATACTGTTGTAATAACCCCATACTGTTGTAATACCCCATAACTGTTGTAATAACCCCATACTGTTGTAACCCCATACTGTAATAACCCCATACTGTAATAACCCCATACTGTTGTAACCCCATACTGTTGTGACCCCATACTGTTGTAATAACCCCATACTGTTGTAATAACCCCATACTGTTGTAATAACCCCATACTGTTGTGACCCCATACTGTTGTAATAACCCCATACTGTTGTTGTAACCCCATACTGTTGTAATAACCCCATACTGTTGTAATAACCCCATACTGTTGTAATAACCCCATACTGTTGGTAATAACCCCATACTGTTGTAATAACCCCATACTGGTGTGACCCCATACTGTAATAACCCATACTGTTGTAACCCCATACTGTTGTAATAACCCCATACTGTTGTAATAACCCCATACTGTTGTAATAACCCCATACTGTTGTAATAACCCCATACTGTTGTAACCCCATACTGCAATAACCCCATACTGTAATAACCCCATACTGTTGTAACCCCATACTGTTGTGACCCCATACTGTTTGTAATCACCCATACTGTTTGTAATAACCTCCATACTTTGTTACCTCCATACGTGTGTGACCCCATACTTTTTGTAATAACCCCAATACGTTGTAATAATAACTCCATACTGTTGTAAAATACCCATACTGTTGTAATAACCCCATACTGTTGTAATAACCCCATACTGTTGTAATAACCCCATACTGTTGTAATAATCCCATACTGTTGTGACCCCATACTGTTGTGACCCCATACTGTTGTGACCCCATACTGTTGTAATAACCCCATACTGTTGTAATAACCCCATAGTGTTGTAATAACCCCATACTGTTGTAATAACCCCATACTGTGTTGTAATAACCCATAACCCCAACTGTTGTGACCCCATACTGTTGTTAACCCCATACTTTTTAATAACCCATACTGTTGTAATAATCCCTACTTGTTGTGACCCCATACGTTTTTACCCCATAAGTTGTGGACCCCATACTGTTGTAATAACCCCATACGTTGTAATAAACCCCCTAGTGTTGTAATAACCCCATACTGTTTGTCAACCCCCATACTGTTTGTAATAACCCCATATACTGTTTGTAATCCCCATATGTGTTGTTAAAACCCCATACTGTTGTAATAATAAACCCCATCCTGTTTTAATAACCCCATACTGTGTATACCTCCATATCCTGTTGTAATAACCCCATACTGTTGTGAACCCCATACTGTTGTAATAACCCCATACTGTTGTAATAACCCCATACTGTTGTAATAACCCCATACTGTTGTAATAACCCCATACTGTTGTAATAACCCCATACTGTTGTAATAACCCCATACTGTGTAATAACCCCATACTGTTGTAATAACCCTACTTTGTAATGACCATGCCCCATAACTGTTGTAAGACCCATACTGTTGTGACCCCATACTGTTGTGACCCCATACTGTTGTAATAACCCCATACTGTTGTAATAACCCCATACTGTTGTAATAACCCCATACTGTTGTAACCCTAACTCTCAGCTTTAACAATGGAGGGGTTTCTAGGTGTGTGTGTGTGTGTGTGTATGTGTGTGCGCGTGTGTGTGTGTGTGTGTGTGTGTGTGTGTGTGTGTGTGTGTGTGTGTGTGTGTGGTTTGTTGTGTGTGTGTGTTTGTGGTGTGTGTGCGTGTGTGTGTGTGCGTGTGTGTGTGCGTGTGCGTGGGTGCGATTTTCAGGGGCTTAACAGTTTGATTTCCAGGGGCGTCTCGAAGTCCCAGAAAATCCCCCACAACCCTTCTGTGGTGGGTGGAAGGGGACCAAGTCTCCCCAGAATGGGACTGGGTGTTTTGGGTTCCCCCCAAGAGGCTGGGCCTTTTTCTGAGACAGCGCTACATCTCTGATTGACTGGTTTTTGTGTACAGAGGCATTCATACAAGATGTGTGTATTTGAAGTGTGTTTCTCACTAGTGGTTGGCTCAGCCACGTCACCCCCGTGATAAAGCAGTAATTGGAGACAATCCATCCTTTCTGAGGATGTCAGGGGAGGGACGTGGAAGCACACAGACAGTCTCTCTCTATAATACTTACAGAACCTCCAGAGCTCTGAGAGCACGGAAGGCCCCCTCCTCGATGCAAGTGATGTGGTTCTTATCCAGTTGACTGAAGACACAAAACACACATAACGGCTTCCATTAGTGTGTGTATGTGAAAGCGAGAGTGTGTGTGTGCGCATGTGTCACTCACAGGTTCCTGATGTCCGTGGCCCCTCTGAAAGCTCTCCTGGGAATGGCTTGGATAACATTTTCACTCAGGTCCCTGAGAAGGGGGGGGGGGGGGGGGGGGGGAGGGAGGGAGGAGAGAGAGAGATGGAGAGGTAGAGAGATTTATTAATCTGTTAATATTTATTGTTTATTTCACTTTTGTTTACTATCTACTTCACTTGCTTTGGCAATGTTAACACACGTTTCCCATGCCAATAAAGCCCTTAAATTGAATTTGAATTGAATTGAATTGAATTGAGAGAGAGAGGAGAGAGAGAGAGAAGAGAGAGGAGAGAGAGAGAGAGAGAGAGAAGAGAGAGAGAGAGAGAGAGAGAGAGAGAGAGAGAGAGAAAGAAAGAGTTTAAACAGTGTGAAATCCATGGAGCTTGTCTTCCTGTTTAAAAAACGAGGGATGTAGAAAGAAAGGAGATATGAAAAGTAGAGGGGTGTGGAGCAGAATGTGTTGAGCAGTGTGGAGCAGACAGTGTTGAGCAGTGTGGAGCAGACAGTGTAGAGTGGTGTGGAGCAGAATGTGTTGAGCAGTGTGGAGCAGACAGTGTTGAGCAGTGTGGAGCAGACAGTGTAGAGTGGGTGTGGAGCAGAATGTGTGAGCAGTGTGGACCAGACAGTGTTGAGCAGTGTGGGCAGACAGTGTAGAGTGGTTGTGGAGCAGAATGTGTTGAGCATTGTGGAGCAGACAGTGTTGAGCAGTGTGGAGCAGACAGTGTAGAGTGGTGTGGAGCAGAATGTGTTGAGCAGTGTGGAGCAGAATGTGTTGAGCAGTGTGGAGCAGACAGTGTAGAGTGGTGTGGAGCAGAATGTGTTGAGCAGTGTGGAGCAGAATGTGTTGAGCAGTGTGGAGCAGACAGTGTTGAGCAGACAGTGTTGACCAGTGTGGAGCAGACAGTGTGGAGCAGGTGAGCAGACAGTGTTGAGCATTGTTGGAAGCAACCAGTGTTGAGCAGATACAGTGTGACCAGGGTGGACAGAAGTGTTGACCAGTGTGGAGCAGACAGTGTTGAGCAGTGTGGAGCAGACAGTGTTGAGCAGTGTGGAGCAGACAGTGTTGAGCAGACAGTGTGGAGCAGACAGTGTTGACAGTGTTGAGCAGACAGTGTAGAGTGGTGTGGAGCAGAATGTGTTGAGCAGTGTGGAGCAGAATGTGTTGAGCAGTGTGGAGCAGACAGTGTTGAGCAGACAGTGTTGAGCAGACAGTGTGGAGCAGACAGTGTTGAGCAGACAGTGTGGAGCAGACAGTGTTGAGCAGACAGTGTTGAGCAGACAGTGTTGACCAGTGTGGAGCAGACAGTGTGGAGCAGACAGTGTTGAGCAGGTGTGGAGCAGACAGTGTTGAGCAGTGTGGAACAGACAGTTTTGAGCAGACAGTGTGGAGCAGACAGTGTTGAGCAGGCAGTGTTGAGCAGACAGTATTGAGCAGACAGTGTTGAACAGTGTGGAGCAGACAGTGTTGACCAGTGTGGAGCAGACAGTGTTGAGCAGGCAGTGTGGAGCAGACAGTGTTGAGCAGGCAGTGTGGAGCAGACAGTGTTGAGCAGACAGTGTTGAGCAGACAGTGTTGAGCAGGCAGTGTGGAGCGGACAGTGTGGAGCAGACAGTGTTGAGCAGTGTGGAGCAGACAGTGTTGAGCAGGCAGTGTTGAGCAGACAGTGTTGAACAGTGTGGAGCAGACAGTGTTGAGCAGACAGTGTGGAGCAGACAGTGTTGAACAGTGTGGAGCAGACAGTGTTGAGCAGGCAGTGTTGAGCAGACAGTGTTGAGCAGTGTGGAGCAGACAGTGTTGAGCAGGCAGTGTTGAGCAGACAGTGTTGAGCGGACAGTGTTGAGCAGACAGTGTTGTGCAGACAGTGTTGAGCAGACAGTGTTGAGCAGACAGTAATGAACAGTGTGGAGCAGACAGTGTTGACCAGTGTGGAGCAGACAGTGTTGAGCAGGCAGTGTGGAGCAGACAGTGTTGAACAGTGTGGAGCAGACAGTGTTGAGCAGTGTGGAGCAGACAGTGTGGAGCAGACAGTGTTGAAACAGTGGTGGAGCAGGACGTGTGAGCAGTGGGGAGCAGACAGGTGGAGCAGACAGTGTTGACCAGTGTGGAGCAGACAGTGTTGAGCAGAAAGTGTTGACCGGTGTGGAGCAGAAAGTGTTGACCAGTGTGGAGCAGACAGTGTTGACCGGTGTGGAGCAGACAGTGTTGAGCGGTGTGGAGTGGCTAGTTGAGTAATAGGTGGCTGTGTTTCCACCCAGAGACCAGTGTTATCTGCTCTATCTCACTGTGTTTGGTCTTTTAAAGTACACACAGACCAAGAACTAGGCCTCTGCCTGCCTGCCTGCCTGCCTGCCTCTCTCTCTCTCTCTCTCTCTCTCTCTCTCTCTCAATCTTCTCTTTCTATTTTCATCTCTTTCAGTCTTCCACTCCTCTCTCCATCCCTCCTCTCTGTCTACAACATTACCACTAGGTCTCCATCATGATGTTATCTTAATGTGTTCCCCTGGCCTTGGGGCCTAGACGCCAGCAGGAAGCCTGGGCCCCTGGTGACTGAGCCACCCCAGGGAGGGCCTACTACAGCCTGGGTAGACTCTGGCACTGTTCCATCTGGCGTCGGAGATGGGAACCACAGGGTTGTCTATGTTAGTGTGTCTGTGTGTGTGTGCGCTTGTGTGGCCCAGGTGCATGCACGCTCAAATGTGTGTAGATAATGTGTCGTACCCTGGAGGATTTCAAACACACTATTAACCTCCAGACCACTGAGACTATCAGACCAGCCCACTGAGACTATCAGACCAGCCCACTGAGACTATCAGACCAACCCACTGAGACTATCAGACCAACCCACTGAGACTATCAGACCAACCCACTGAGACTATCAGACCAACCCACTGAGACTATCAGACCAGCCCACTGAGACTATCAGACCAACCCACTGAGACTATCAGACCAACCCACTGAGACTATCAGACCAGACCATTAAAATGAATTCAGACCAGAGGTATGCAGATACCATGCCAACATGATGCTACTATGTGAGTGTGTGGCTCTGGAATACTATGACTTGGTTTTATGAGCGTCTGCTAAATGACTAAAATGTAAATGTAAATGAGGCACAGAGGTATTGCTGTAGTGAATGTGGTAAATAATGATAGTGACAGAGTTCCAGACATTGACCCTTTCTCTCTCAGCTCATTCACCGTCAAGCCACTAACACCTCTGTCTGATCACAGCCAAATTACATTGTTCCTCAAAAGAACAGACATGGAAACAACCACACATTCACAGCCCAGTAAGCTGTACAACATCAGAAATGCATAAAGATGGGCCCAAAACAGCACAGAAGAATACCAGAAAGCAACCAGTAACCAAAACATCAAAACACTCTTAGATAACTTTCTGGATACCACATTCACTCACAGTAAAGAAGGCATCAATCTAGCAGTAAAATACATCAACTATATATTCAGGCAAACGGCAAAAGAAGCAGAACTGAAATTGATTATTTTTTTTACCCAGAAAGACCACAGATGACAACTGGTTTGATGCAGATTGTAAAATTATAAGGAAAAAACGTAGAACACTTTCAAAAAAGAGCAATTACGTTTTGGAAACATCTAAAATACATATCGTATCATTACCAAGCCCTGCAATGCCAAGAGATAAGCAAAGAAAAGAGTCCCCTCATCCAGCTGGTTCAGAGGCTGAGTTCACAAACCTGTTCTACTAACACACTGAAGCCTCAGGACCAAAACATCCAATCAATCAGAATAAACCAAATTACAACACAGTCAAAACAAAACGACATGACCTATTGGGAAGCACAAGCACAAAGCAAAATGCAGTGCTATCTGGCCCTAAATCGACAGCACACCATTGCAAACTATTTGACCATGGTTACTGATCAAAACCTTAGATAAACCTTGACAAAGTACAGGCTCAGTGAGCACAGCCTTGCAATTGAGAACGGTAGACACAGGAAAACCTGGCTCCCTGTAGAGGAAAGGCTGTACCACTGCACCACAGCAGAACCCAAGACAGAGCTGCATTTTCTGACAAAATGTAAAAACTATAAAACAATTAGAGTGTAATTTCCCCAAATGTGACACCCTTATTCAAGGTTTCAAAGACCTCTCTGATGAGAATAGGCTTCCCGTCCTGTTGGGGGAAGACGCAGAGAGCTGTGGGTTGGCAGCACTATTGCCTGCCATAAAATGAGGGACAGTGTCTGACAGACCAACCAACCTGCACATGCCCTCTACACCGTTGCTATTGTCCATTGAATGGTTATTACTGTTACTGAGTTTCCTGTTGACAATATTGATTATAATAATGTTCATATTGTAAATGTATCACTTCATCTCCCAAGTACGCTTTGGCAATATGTGCATTGTTACGTCATGTCAATAAAGCAAATTGAATAGAATTGAATTGAGTGAGGTTGAAAGAGGGGAATGTAGAGGCTGATAGATTGAGAGAAAATGAAAAGAGAATGATGGATATAGTGAAAGAGAAGAATGGAGTGAGTGAAAGTGAGGGATGCATATAGATAATGAAAAAGGAACACTGCTAGACAGAGGGCAAGAGAGAAGGACCGATACAGTGGAATGAGAGAAGGACCGATACAGAGGAATGAGAGAAGGACCGATACAGAGGGCAAGAGAAGGACCGATACAGAGGGCAAGAGAGAAGGACCGATACAGAGGAATGAGAGAAGGACTGATACAGAGGATTGAGAGAAGGACCGATACAGAGGAATGAGAGAAGGACTGATACAGAGGCATGAGAGGAGGACTGATACAGAGGAATGAGAGAAGGACCGATACAGAGGAATGAGAGAAGGACTGATACAGATGAATGAGAGGACTGATACAAAGGAATGAGAGGAGGACTCATACAGAGGAATGAGAGAAGGACTGATACAGAGGAATGAGAGGAGGGCTCATACAGAAGAATGAGAGAAGGACTGATACAGAGGAATGAGAGGAGGACTGATACAGAAGAATGAGAGGAGGACTGATACAGAGGAATGAGAGGAGGACTGATACAGAGGAATGAGAGGAGGACTGATACAGACAGAGGAATGAGAGGAGGACTGATACAGAGGAATGAGAGGAGGACTGATACAGACAGAGGAATGAGAGGAGGACTGATACAGACAGAGGAATGAGAGGAGGACTGATATAGACAGAGGAATGAGAGGAGGACTGATACAGAGGAATTAAAGATGGACTGATACAGAGGAATGAGAGGACTGATACAGAGGAATGAGAGGAGGACTGATACAGAGGAATGAGAGGAGGACTGATACAGTGGAATGAGAGATGGACTGATACAGAGGAATGAGAGGAGGACTCATACAGTGGAATGAGAGAAGGACTGTTACAGAGGATTGAGAGGAGGACTGATACAGAGGAATGAGAGGAGGACTGATACAGACAGAGGAATGAGAGGGAGGACTGATACAGAGGAATGAGAGATGGACTGATACAGAGGAATGAGAGGAGGACTGATACAGAGGAATGAGAGATGGACTGATACAGAGGAATGAGAGGAGGACTGATACAGAGGAATGAGAGGAGGACTGATACAGAGGAATGAGAGGAGGACTGATACAGATGAATGAGAGACGGACTGATACAGAGGAATGAGAGAAGGACTGATACAGAGGAATGAGAGGAGGACTGATACAGAGGAATGAGAGGAGGACTGATACAGACAGAGGAATGAGAGGAGGACTGATACAGAGGAATGAGAGGAGGACTGATACAGAGGATTGAGAGACGGACTGATACAGAGGCATGAGAGGAGGACTGATACACATGAATGAGAGAAGAACTGATACAGAGGAATGAGAGATGGACTGATACAGAGGAATGAGAGGAGGACTGATACAGAGGCATGAGAGAAGGACTGATACACAGGAATGAGAGATGGACTGATACAGAGGAATGAGAGGAGGACTGATACAGAGGGATGAGAGGAGGACTGATACAGAGGAACGAGAGGAGAGGACTGATCAGAGAAGGACTGATACAGAGGAATGAGAGGAGGACTGATACATAGGAATGAGAGGAGGACTGATACAGAGGAATGAGAGGAGGACTGATACAGAGGAATGAGAGGAGGACTGATACAGAGGAATGAGAGAATAACTGATACAGAGGAATGAGAGGAGGACTGATACAAAGGAATGAGAGAAGGACTGATACAGAGGAATGAGAGATGGACTGTTACAGATGAATGAGAGATGGACTGATACAGAGGAATGAGAGGAGGACTGATACAGAGGATTGAGAGACGGACTGATACAGAGGCATGAGAGGAGGACTGATACACAGGAATGAGAGATGGACTGATACAGAGGAATGAGAGGAGGACTGATACAGAGGAATGAGAGGAGGACTGATACAGACAGAGGAATGAGAGGAGGACTGATACAGAGGAATGAGAGAATAACTGATACAGAGGAATGAGAGGAGGACTGATACAGAAGAATGAGAGAAGGACTGATACAGAGGAATGAGAGATGGACTGATACAGAGGAATGAGAGAAGGACTGATACAGAGGAATGAGAGATGGACTGATACAGAGGAATGAGAGGAGGACTGATACAGAGGAATGAGAGGAGGACTGATACAGAGGAATGAGAGACGGACTGATACAGAGGAAAGAGAGGAGGACTGATACAGAAGAATGAGAGAAGAACTACTACAGAGGATTGAGAGGACTGATACAGAGGAAATAGAGGAGGACTGATACAGAGGAATGAGAGAAGGACTGATACATACAGAGGTATGAGAGGAGGACTGATACAGACAGAGAAATGAGAGGAGGACTGATACAGAGGAATGAGAGAAGGACTGATACAGAGGTATGAGAGGACTTATACAGAGGAATGAGAGGAGGACTGATACAGAGGAATGAGAGAAGAACTGATACAGAGGAATGAGAGAAGGACTGATACAGACAGAGGAATGAGAGAAGGACTGATACAGACAGAGGAATGAGAGGACTGATACAGAGGAATGAGAGAAGGACTGATACAGAGGAATGAGAGAAGAACTGATACAGAGGAATGAGAGGAGGACTGATACAGACAGAGGAATGAGAGGAGGACTGATACAGAGAAATGAGAGGAGGACTGATACAGACAGAGGAATGAGAGGAGGACTGATAGAGGTATGAGAGGAGGACTGATACAGACAGAGGAAAGCGAGGAGGACTGATATAGACAGAGGAATGAGAGGAGGACTGATATAGACAGAGGAGTGAGAGGATGGATAATGGGTGAAAGGGATGGATAGAGTGTATGAGAGAGAGCAGAATAGATTAAGTGAGTGACAGAACGAGTGAAAGGGATGGATAGAGTCTATATGAGAGAGAGAGCGAGCGTGAGAGAAGGATGGATAAAGTGAGAGAGGGAGCGGAGTGGGTGAGAGATTGGTTGCGATCACACGCACAGTTTTTCTGCTCCATTTCAGATTGAGGTCAGAGTCAGTGAACCAACACATAGACATACACACAGCATGGAGTCTGAAGAGAGAGAGAGAGAGAGAGAGAGAGAGAGAGAGAGAGAGAGAGAGAGAGAGAGAGAGAGAGAGAGAGAGAGAGAGAGAGAGAGAGAGAGGAGAAAGAAAGAGAGAGAAAGAAAGAGAGGGAGAGAGAGAGCGAGAGAGAGAAAGAAAGAGAGGGAGAGAGAGAGATGTGGGCATGAGAGAGAGGGAGCGATGTTAGCATTTGAGAGAGAGAGATGTGGGAATTGGAGGCTGAGAAGGGGGCGAGAGATGGAGAGGGTGTAAATGGATTTTGAGGAGAGATACAGAACATGGATGGATGGATCTAAGGTCAAATGTGTGTTTGCTCTCTCTCTCTCTCTCTCATCAGATGTTATTTGTCACATGCGCCGAATACAACAGGTGTAGACCTTACAGTGAAATGCTTACTTAAAAGCCTTTAACCAACAATGCAGTTTTAAGAAAGAATACCAACAAAAAAAAGTACAATTAACAAATAATTAAAGAGCAACAATAAAATAACAATAACGAGGCTATATACAGGGGGTACCAGTACCGAGTCAATGTGCGGGGGCACCAGTTAGTCGAGGTAATATGTACATGTATGTAGAGTTATTAAAGTGACTATGCATAGATAATAAACAGAGTAGCAGCAGCGTAAAGGGGGGGCAATGCAAATAGTCTGGGTAGCCATTTGATTAGATGTTCAGGAGTCTTATGGCTTGGGGTAGAAACTGTTTAGAAGCCTTTTGAACCTAGACTTGGCGCTCCGGTACCGCTTGCCGTGCGGTATCAGAGAGAACAGTCTATGACTAGAGTGGCTGGAGTCTGACATTTTTTAGGGCCTTCCTCTGACACCGCCTGGTATAGAGGTCCTGGATGGCAGGAAGCTTGGCCCCAGTGATGTACTGGACCGTACGCACCACCCTCTGTAGTGCCTTGCGGTCGGTGGCCGAGCAGTTGACATACCAGGTAGTGATGCAACCAGTCAGGATGCTCTCGATTGTGCAGCTGTAGAACCTTTTGAGGATCTGAGGACCCATGCCAAATCTCCTTAGGGGGAATAGGTTTTGTCATGCCCTCTTCACGACTGTCTTGGTGTGCTTGGACCATGTTAGTTTGTTGGTGATGTGGACACCAAGGAACTTGGAGCTCTCAACCTGCTCCACTACAGCCCTGTTGATGAGAATGGGGGCGTGCTCTTCTTTTTCCTGTAGTCCACAATCATCTCTTTTGTCTTGATCACGTTGAGGGAGAGGTTGTTATCCTGGCACCACACGGCCAGGTCTCTGACCTCCTCCCTATAGGCTATCTCATCGTTGTCGGTGATCAGGCCTACCACTGTTGTGTCATCGGCAAACTTAATGATGGTGTTGGAGTCGTGCCTGGCTATGCAGTCATGAGTGAACAGGGAGTACAGGAGGGGACTGAGCACGCACCCCTGAGGGGCCCCTGTGTTGAGGATCAGCGTGGCGGATGTGTTGTTACCTACCCTTACCACCTGGGGGCGGCCCGTTAGGAATTCCAGGATCCAGTTGCAGAGGGAGGTGTTCAGTCCCAGGGTCCTTAGCTTAGTGATGAGCTTTGAGGGCACTATGGTGTTGAACGCTGAGCTGTAGTCAATGAATAGTATTCTCACATAGGTTTTCCTTTTGTCCAGGTGTGAAAGGGCAGTGTGGAGCGCAATAGAGATTTCATCATCTGTGGATCTGTTGGGGCGGTATGCAAATTGGAGTGGGTCTAGGGTTTCTGGGATAATGGTGTTGATGTGAGCCATGACCAGCCTTTCAAAGCACTTCACGGCTACAGACGTGAGTGCTACGGGTCGGTAGACATTTAGGCAGGTTACCTTAGTGTTCTTGGGCACAGGGACTATGGTGGTCTGCTTGAAACATGTTGGTATTACAGACTCAGACAGGGAGAGATTGAAAATGTCAGTGAAGACACTTGCCAGTTGGTCAGCGCATGCTCGGAGTACACGTCCTGGTAATCCGTCTGGCCCTGCGGCCTTTTGAATGTTGACCTGTTTAAAGGTCTTACTCACATCGGCTACGGAAAGCGTGATCACACAGTCGTCCGGAACAGCTGATGCTCTCAGAAGTGGTTTAGCTCATCTGGTAGGCTCGTGTCACTGGGCAGCTCGCGGCTGTGCGTCCCTTTGTAGTCTGCAATAGTTTGCAAGCCCTGCCACATCCGACGAGCATCGGAGCCGGTGTAGTAAGATTCGATCTTAGTCCACTCACTCATTCACTCAACCAGTGAAGGTTGCTAGATGTCCCCTGACAGGACAGGAAGTAAGTGTTAAAGCAGTAGAGAGGTGGTATGAGGAAGTAGCTGCTTCTGAACATAACAGACAGCTGGACTGGGTTTGAGAACACCATTAATCTCTTTCTCTTGTTCTCCTCACCACTGGGTCTTCCTCACTGCTCCTTGTCAAATCAGATCACGTTCATACTGATACTCCATGCCCAGTTGCCCAAGTGGTTCCAGGTGTGTGTGTGTGGTGTGACAGGCATCCCACTGTGAGAAGATGAGAGGGGATGAAGGAGAATGCATTTCACCATGGACACAAATCTACGTGCAGCATCAGGGACCAAAAATCCAATCAATCAGAAGAACCAAATTACAACACAGTCAAAACAAAAACGACATGACCTATTGGGAAAGCACAAGCACAAAGCCAAATGCAGTGCTAGCTGGCCCTAAATCGACAGCACACATTGCCAAAAACGATTTGACCATGGGTTAATGATCACAACCTTAGATAAACCTTGACAAAGTCAGGTCAGTGAGCACAGCCTTGCAATTTGAGAACGGAGGGGGGGGGGGACAACAGGAAAAACCTGGCTCCTGTCGAGGAACAGCTGTTACCATCTGCCACCACAGCAGAACCCAAGACAGAGCTGCATTTTCTGACAAAAAAAAAAAAAAATGTAAAAAACTATAAAACACATTCGAGGTCATTTCCCCAATGTTGACCACCCTTATTTCAAGGTTTCAAAGACCTCTCTGATAGAATAGCGCTTCCCGTTCCTGTTGGGGGAAGACGCAGAGAGCTGTGGGTTGCAGAACTATGGCCTGCCATAAATGAGGGACAGTGTCGACAGACAACAACCTGCACATGCCCTTACACCGTGTGCGATTGTCCATTTGAATGGTTTATTACTGTTACTGAGTTTCCTGTTGACAAATGATTATAATAATGTTAATTGTAAATGTATCACTCACTCCCCAGTACGCTTGGCCAATATGTGATTTACGTCATGTCAATAAAGCAAATTGAATAGAATTGAATTGAGTGAGGTTGAAAAAGCGGGGAAGTAGAGGCTGATTAGATTGAGAGAAAATGAGGAAAGAGAAAAATGAAAAGAGGAATGAGGGATATAGGAAAGAGAAGAATGAGTGAGGTGAAGTGAGGGATTGCATATAGTAATTGAAAAAGGAACACGGCTAGGACAGAGGCAACGAGAGAAGGACCGATTTTACAGTGGAATGAGAGAAGGACGATACAGAGGCGGAGAGAAGGAACCGATTACAGAGGGCAAGAGAAGAGGACAGATACAGAGGGCAAAGAGAGAAGGACCGATACAGAGGAATGAGAGTAGAGAAGGACTGATTACAGAGGATTGGAGAGAAAGGACGAATACAGAGGGAATGAGAGAAGAAGGACCTGATACAGAGGCATGAGAGGAGGAATGATACAGAGGAAGGAGAGAAGACCGATTACAGAGGAATGAGAGAAGGATGATACGATGAATGAGAGAACTGTGATACAAAGGAAATGAGAGGAGGACTCATACAGAGGAATGAGAGAAGGACTGATTACAGAGGAATGAAGAGGAGGGGCTCATACAGAAGATGAGAGGAGAAGGACTGATAACAGAGGATGAGCGAGGAGAGGAGGACTGATACAGAGAAATGAGGGAGGACTGATAAGAGGAATGAGAGGAGGACTGGAACAGAGAATGAAAGAGGAGGACTGATACAGCCGAGATATGAATTGTAATGAGAGGAGGACTGATACAGAGGAAGAGAGGAGGACTGATAACAGACAGAGGAATGAGAGGAGGACTGATACAGCAGAGGAATGATGAGGAGGTCTGATATAGACAGATGGGGGGGGAAATTGGGGGGAGGAGGAGGGAATGATCAGAGGAATTAAAGATGGACTGATACAGAGGAATTAGAGGGATGATACAGAGGAATGAGAGGAAGGACTGATACAGAGGAATGAGAAGGCGGCCTGCATACAGTGGGAAGTGAGAGGTGGACTGATTACAGAGCGAATGATGAGGCGGACTCATACAGGGAATGAGAGAAGGCACCCTGGTACAGAGATTGAGAGGAGGACTGATAAAGAGGAATGAGAGGAGGATGATACAGACAGAGGAATGAGAGGAGGACTGATTACAGAGGAATGAGAGATGGACTGATACAGAGGAATGAGAGGAGGACTGATTACAGAGGAATGAGAGAATGGACTGATACAGAGGAATGAGAGGAGGACTGATAAAGAGGAATGAGAGGAGGAAGATACAGAGGAAATGAGAAGAGGACTTGAACAGATGAATGAGAGACCCGGGAATGATACAGAGGAATGAGAGAAGGACTGATACAGAGGAATGAGAGGAGGAATGCTACAGAGGAATGAGAGGAGGTCTGATACAGGACAGCGGACTGAGAGGAGGACTGCACAGAGGAATGAGCGGAGGGACTATAAGAGGATTGAGAGAACGGATGATACAGGGCAGAGAGGAGGACTTGATACACATGATATGAGAGAAGAACTGATACAGAGGAAAATGAGAGATTTGACTGATAACAGCGGCATGAGAGGAGGACTGAGACAGAAGGCATGAGAGAAGGACTGATACACAGGAATGAGAGATGGACTGATACAGAGGAAGGAATGAGAGGAGGACTGATACCAGAGGGATTGAGAGGAGGACTGAGTACAGAGTGAATGAGAGAAGGACTGATACAGAGGAATGAGAGGAGACTGATACATAGGAATGAGAGGAGGACTGATACAGAGGAATGAGGGAGGACTGAGACAGAGGAATGAGAGGAGGACCCCCCCCCCCCTGCTACAGAGGAATGAGGACTAAATGAACAGAGGAATGAGAGGAGGACTTGATACAAAGGCATGAGAGAAGGCCTGATACAGGGAAGAGAGATGGACTGTTACAGATGAATGAGAGATGGACTGATACAGAGGAATGAGAGAGAGAGGGACGATGACAGCGGATTGAGAGACGTACTGATTAAGAGGCATGAGAGGAGGAACTGATACACAGAATGAGAGATGGACTGATACACCGAGGAATGAGAGGAGGGACTGATACAGAGGAATGGAGAGGAGGAGGACTGCTACAGAAGGGAATGAGAGGAGGGAATGATACAGAGGAATGAGAGAATAACCTGATACAGAGGAATTGAGAGGAGGAATGATTACAGAGATGGAGAGGACTGATTAAAAGGAATGAGAGGAGAAGGACTGATACAGAGGAATGAGAGATGGGACTGATACAGAGGAATGAGAGAAGGAATGATACAGAGGAATGATAGCTGGACTGATACAGGAGGAATGAGAGAGAATGATACAGAGGAATGAGAGGAGGATGATACAGAGGAAATGAGTAGACGGGGACTTGGATACAGAGGACAGACGGGAGGACTGATACAGAAAATGAGAGAAGAACTTCACTACAGAGGATTGAAGGACTGATACAGAGGAACAGAGGGGACTGATACAGAGGAATGAGAGAAGAACTGATACATACAGAGGTATGGAGGAGGACTGATACAAGACAGAGAAAGTGAGAGGAGACTTGTACAGAGGAATGAGGAGAGGACTGATACAGAGGTTGGAGAGGACTTATACAGAGGGAATGAGAGGAGGGACTATACAGAGGAATGAGAGACGAACTGATTACAGAGGAATGAGAGAAGGACTGTACAGACAGAGGAATGAGAGAAGGACGGATACAGACAGAGGAATGAGGGACTGATACAGAGGAATGAGAGAAGGACTGATACAAGGAATGAGAGAATGAACTGGATACAGAGGGAATGAGAGGAGGACTGATACAGGACAGAGGAATGAGAGGAGGAGGGACTGATACAGAGAAAGAAATGATGAGGGGACTGATACAGACAGAGGAAATGCGAGGCGGACTGATAGAGGTATTGAGAGGAGGGACTGATACCAGACAGGGAAAGCGAGGAGGACTGATTAGGACAGAGGAAGAGAGGAGGACCTGAGATAGACAGAGGAGTGACGAGATGGATAAGGGGTGTGAAAGGGATGGATAGAGTGTATGAGAGAGAGGCAGAATAGATTAAGTGATGACAGAACGAGTGAAAGGATGGATAGAGTCTATATGAGAGAGGAGCGGAGCGTTGAGCGACGGATGGATAAAGTGAGAGCGGAGCGGAGGGGTGAGGATTGGTTGCGATCCAGCACAGTTTTAGCTCATTCAGATGAGGTCAGAAGGCAGTGAACCACCACATAGACATACACACAGGCATGGAGTATGAAGAGCGAGAGAGAGATGGAGACGAGGGAGAGAGGAGAGACGATGAGACGAGAGAGAGAGAGAGACGCGGAGGAGAGAGAGAGAGGAGACGATGGGAGAGAGGAGGAGAGAGAGAGAGAGGAGAGAGAGAGAAAGAAAGAGACCCAGAGAAAGAAAGAGAGGGGAGAGAGAGAGCGAGAGGAGAAAGGAAAGAGAGGGAGAGAGAGAGATTGGGCATGAGAGAGACATGAGAGAGAGGGAGGGGGCGTGTTAGCATTGAGAGGCGAGAGAGAGATGTGGGAATTGGAGGCTGAAGAAGGGGGGGGGGTGGGCCCGGAGATTGATGGAGAGGGTGTAAATGGATTTGAGGAGCGATACAGAAACATGCATGGATGGATCTAAGGTCAAATGTGTGTTTGCTCTCTCTCTCTCTCTCTTTCAGATGGGATTGTCACATGCGCCGAAACAACAGGTGTAGACCTTACAGTGAAATGCTTACTTCTAAAAGCCTTTACAACCAACAATGCAGTTTTAAGAAAGATACAACAAATAAAAAGTACAATTACAAATAAAAAGAGCAAAATTAAAAGACAATAACGAGGCCTATAACAGGGGGATACCAGTAACGAGTAATGTGCGGGGGCACAGTTAGTCGAGGTAATATGTAATGTATGTAGAGTTATAAGTGACTCTGCATAGATAATAAACAGAGTAGCCGCGCGTTAAAAGCGGGGGGGGGCAATGCAAAATAGTCTGGGTAGCCATTGATAGATTTCAGGAGTCTATGGCTTGGGGTAGCATTAGAAAATGTTTTAGTTTAGAAGCCCTTTGAACCTAGATTGGGCCGCTCGGTTGTGGTACCGCTTGCCGTGCGTATCAGAGAGAAACAGTCTATGACTGAGTGGCGGGAGTCTGACATTTTTAGGGCCTTCCTCTGACAACCGCTGGGATAGAGGTCTGGATGGCAGGGAAGCTTGGCCCCGTGATGTACTGGCCCGTACGCACCACATCGTAGGGCTTGCGGTAGTTGGGCCGAGCAAGTTTGACATACCAGGATAGTGAGCAAACCAGTCGGATGCTCTACGATTGTGCAGATCGTAGAAACTTTGAGGACTCGAGGACCATGCCAAATCTCCTTAGGGGGAAAGGTTTTGTCATGCCCTCTTCACGACTGTCTTGGTGTGCTTGGACATGTAGTTGTTGGTGATGGGACACCAAGAACTTGGACTCCTCAACTGGCTCCACTACAGACCCTGTTGATGCAGAATGGGGGTGATCTTCTTTTCTCTGTAGTCCACAATCATTCTCCTCTTTGTCTTGATCACGTGAGGAGAGGTTGTTATCCGGGCACAACACGGCCAGGTCTCTGACCTCTCCCTATAGGCGATCTCCTCGTTTGCGGTGGCTCAGGCCACCTACCAATGTTGTGTCATCGCAAACTTAATGATTGTGTGGAGTACGTGCGGCTATGCAGTCATGAGTGAAACAGGGGAGTACAGGAGGGACTGAGCACGACACCCCTGAGGGGCCCTCGGTTGAGCTGATCAGCGTGGCGGATGTGTTGTACCTACCCTTTACACCTGGGGGCGGCCCGTTAGGGAATTCAAGGATCCAGTTGCAGAGGGAGTGTTTCCGTCCAGGTCCTTAGCTTAGTGATGAGCTTGCGTGAACTATGGTGTTGAACGCGAGCGGTAGTACAAGGAATATTATTCTCACACTAGGTTTCCTTTTGTCAGGTGTAAAGGGCCTGTGGAGCGCAAGGATTTCATCATCTGTGGATCTTCTGGGGCGGTATGTATGCAAAATTGGAGTGGGTCTAGGGTTTCGGGGGATAATGGTGATTGATGTGAGCCATGACCAGCCTTTTCAAAGCACTTCACGGCCTACAGACGGGAGTGCTACGATGTCGGTAGACATTTAGGAGGGTCCTTAGTGTTCTGGGCACAGGGGACTATGGTTGGTCTGCTTGAAACATGGTGGTATTACAGATATCAGACAGGGAGAAGATTGAAAATGTCAGTGAAGACACTTGCCAGTTGGTCAGCGGTATTGAGCGGAGTACACGTCCTGGTAATCCGTCTGGGCCGCGGGCCGTTTGAATGTTGATCCGTTGTTTAAAGGTCTTACTCACATCAGGCTACGGAAAGCGTGAATTAACACAGTAGTTCCGGAAACCAGATGATGCTCCAGAAGGGTTTAGCTCATTTGTAGGCTCGTGTCAATGGGCAGCTCGGTCTGTGCTACCTTTGTAGTCTGCAATAGTTGGCAAGCCTGCCACATACGAAAGAGCAGCGGAGCCGTGTATGTAAAGTAAGATTCGATCTTAGTCCACTCAATCATTCACTCAACCATTGAAGGTGCGAGATGTCCCCTGACCAGGACAGGAAGTAAGTGTTAAGCGTAGAGAGTGGTATGAGGAAGTAGCTGCTTCTGGAAAATAACAGACAGCTGGACGGTTTTTTGAGGACACCATTAATCTATTCCTTGTTCTCATCACCACTGGGTCTTCCTCACTGCTCCTTGTCAAATCAGATCACGTTCATTACTGATACTCAATGGGCCCAGTTTGCCCAAAGTGGTTTCCAGGTGTGGTGTGTGTGGGGACAGGCATCCACTGTGAGAAGAGGAGAGGGGGATGAAGGAGAATGCATTTCACCATGGACACAAATCTAACGTGCCGGCATCTAGGGAGAAAATAATGAAAGACAACCTGTGGATGACCATGTAACATTAGGCAGGACATACAACACACAACACACCACACACACACCACAAATGGAGATTGCCTCGACAGGCGCTCCGGTTTGTGAAGGGGACCGACAACCTGGAAAAGAACTTGACCGCCAGTCCCGGGGTCAGGCACCGCCATGCCCCGGTACCCCCTTCTTGGCGAACCCAATAGGGCTCCTTTCAGGCTCTGGGAATTGCGGCTCTTCCGACCTCCGTGGCTACACCCCGTCCCACTTTATTTCGCCCATGGCGTCCGCTTCCGGACAAGCCACCCCGGGGTTAGCGAATTCACGCCCACCTTATTCCTCATCGAGGCCGTACTGAACAACTCCATCATTCCCACCCCCCTCCCACCTCCACCACGCGCACGCGGGAAACCGGGCTATCTCGCTCGGCGCCCCTAGGGGCCATGGGGTTCCTTACTCGTTCCCCTGGCGCCCGGTATTGCGGAACATATGGATTGCCGGTCTGGGTGTTGGTTTCGGGTTGTCAGGGAGGTAGGGTTGGGGTACATTGATATTAGAATGTTTTACAGGAGAGACACTGAGGTTTGGTGTGGTCACAGCGGGGCCTGCCTGTGAGTTGCGTGGTAATGCTGCTAATGTTTCACATGTCATCCAAAGGTTGTCTTTCATTAGTTTCTCCCTAGATGCCTGGCACGTTAGATTTGTGTCCATGGTGAATTGACAATTCTATTCCTCGAATGTCTGTGGGAGAGATCATTATGACTGAGGCGGTGAGGTGTAGGTTAGTTTTTGTGAGAGAGCGGCATGTCATTGTTATTATACTCTCTCTCTCACTGTGGGAGGGCCTTGTGGTGGTATGTGGTTGAGAGAGCGGAATGTTATTTTCTGCTCTTCTCTCTCTCTCTCTCTCTACGATCTCCTATCGAGCGATCATGATCTATATATCGATCGCTCTCTCGCTCCTCTCTATCGCTCTCTCTCTAGTCGCTCGCGCTCCCTATACACTATCTATCTCTCTCTCTCTCTCTCGTCTCGCTCTCTCTCTCTCTCTCTCTCTCTCTCTCTCCCTACTCTTCATCTTTCTTTCTTTTTCCTCCTCCCTCCTCCTCCTCCCAGACAGTCATCAGCAGACTGTGCTCAATAGAGGGTGAGAAAGGTAAACTTTCCCACTGGCTCTGTGTGACCTCAGATCTCACCTCTCAGTCCCGCTCTGTGGTGCGTGTTTGTGTGTGTGTGTAAACGTTCCCATGCTTCCTAACCCCACTGTCCCACTCTGGTCCTCCGCAAAAACATGAAGTCACTCTCCCAAGACTCACATGACCCTTATACAGCCTCCATCTCTCTCCACCTCTTCTTACTCCTCCTCTCTGACGCCCCACACCTTCCCTCCTCTCAGACGCCCCACACCTTCCCTCCTCTCAGACGCCCCACACCTTCCTTCCTCTCAGACGCCCCACACCTTCCCTCCTCTCAGACGCCCCACACCTTCCCTCCTCTCAGACGCCCCACACATTCCCTTCTCTCTGAAGCCCCACACCTTCCCTCCTCTCTGATGCCCAACACCTTCCCTCCTCTGATGCCCCTACACCTTCCCTCCTCTGACGCCCCACACCTTCCTTCCTCTCTCCCCCTTTCCTGCCTCCCTTCACTCCCACCTTCCAACTTCCCCCATCTAAGCCTCCATCGCTCTCTTCACAAGGATCCTTATCCTCTTCACCTCTCCCCCTCCACTCATCTCTCCTCTCTTCCCCTCCACTCTACTCCACTCTCTCCTTCCCTCTCTTACACCTCTCAACCCTCCCACCTCTCTAATCTCCAGTCATCAACCCTTCTCTCAAACCCAGATTTGTGTCCCTCCTCCCTCAACACCTTCCCTCTATTCTGATTCTCTACAGCCCAACACACCCTGCTGTCCTACTGTCATTAACTCCCTCCTATCTCAAGCCCAGACTCACCCAGGGCACTCACAGAGGACTAACTCCCCCTTTCACTCTCACCCCCCCCCCCAACCTCCTCCATTCTCTCACCCACTCCCACAACCTCTCCCTTCCTCTCTCATCACACCTTCTGCCTTCTCTCCTTCCCCTTCATCCCTATAGACTGCCTTGCTAGACCTCTACTCTCACTCTCAACCCCAGACCTTCCTCATTCTCTTCATCTCAGACGCCTCCTTTCCTCCCCTGTCCTCCTCCCCCCACAGTGACCCTCTTACAGGGAGGGCAGACGGTGATGTCAGACGGTGTCACCGCCGACAACCTCTAAATATTTTATCTCCCTTTTAAACTCTGTCTGTTCCCCTTTCAACCCCTCACAGACTGACACAAACTTTGAATAAGTCATTCGTGAGAGAGAGAGAGACAGACAGAGAGAGAGAGTGAGAGAGAAAGAGAGACATGGGGAGGGGGAGAGTGAGAGAGAGCCGAGAGGAGGAGAAACGGGGGAAGGGGGGAGAGTTGTACGAGAGAGAGAGACATGGGGGAGGGGGAGAGTGAGAGAAAGAGAGCGAGAGAGAGACATGGGGGAGGGGGCGAGGAGCATGAGAGAGAGAGAGACATGGGGGAGGGGAGTGAGAGAAATAGAGAGAGGCTCTGTTCTGGGGCTCCATTCACAAACAGACCCCCAGGACAGAAACACATTTAGACCCAACCAAATTATGAGAAAGCAAAAAGATAACTATTTAACACACTGGAAAGAATCAACTAAAAAACAGAACAAATTGGGGGCATCTGCTCTCTGCTCTGCTATCTCTCTCGAGAGGAGGCGATAGGAGAGAGAGGAGAGATAGAAGATCTCTGAGAGAGAAGCGAGCTAGCGACTCTCTCCTACTTGTCTCGCGCTCTCTCTCCTCTTCTCTCTACTCTCTCTCTCTCCTCTCTCTCTCTCTCTCTCTCTCTCTCCCTCTCTCTCTCCATTTGATATAGCTACTGAGTTTCAGTGAAAGTGAATTCACATGGACAGACTGGAACCTGAGGAGAACATAACACACACGTAAAACATTAGTCTCTCACACACAGGCTGCGGCCAAAATGGCCCCCTACTCTCTTTATAGTGCACTACTTTTGACCCATAGCAGTAAACTATGAAGGGAACAGGGTGTAATTTGGGACGTTGTCACACATTCAAAGGAGCATGCATGCACATACACATATATACACACATACAGTGCATTCGAAAGTATTCAGACCCCTTGACTTTTTCCACATTTTGTTTACGTTACAGCCTTATTCTAAAATTGATTAAATTGTTTTTTCCCCCTCATCAACCTACTCACAATACCCCATAATGTCAAAGCAAAAACAGGTTTTTAGAAATGTTTGCAAATGTATAAAAATAAAAAACTGAAATATCACATTTACATAAGTATTCAGACCTTTTACTCAGTACTTTGTTGAAGCACCTTTGGCAGCGATTACAGCCTCAAGTCTTCTTGGGTATGACGCTACAAGCTTGTCACACCTGTATTTGGGGAGTTTCTCCCATTCTTCTCCTCAGATCCTCTCAAGCTCTGTCAGGTTGCGGTACAGCTATTTTCAGTTCTCTCCAGAGATGTTCGATCGAGTTCAAGTCCAGGCTCTGCCTGGGCCACTCAAGGACATTCAGAGACTTGTCTCAAAGCCACTCCTGCGTTGTCTTGGCTGTGTGCGTAGGGTCATTGTCCTGTTGGAAGGTGAACCTTCGCCCCAGTTTGAGGTCCTGAGTGCTCTGGAGCAAGTTTTCATCAAGGATCTCTCTGTACTTTGCTCCGTTCATTATTGCCTCAATGCTGACTAGTCTCCCAGTCCCTGCCGCTTAAAAACATCCCCACAGCATGATGCTGCCACCACCATGCTTCACCATAGGGATGGTGCCAGGTTTCCTCCAGATGTGGCGGTTGGCATTCAGGCCAAAAAGTTCAATCTTGGTGCCTTTTGGCAAACTCCAAGTGGGCTGTCATGTGCCTTTTACAGAGAAGTGGCTTCCGTCTGGCCACACTGCAGCACTCCACCAATCAGGCCTTTATGCTAGAGATGGTTCTCCTTCTGGAAGGTTCTCCCATCTCCACAGAGGAACTCTGGAGCTCTGTGAGAGTGACCATCGGGTTCTTGATCACCTCCCTGACCAAGGCCCTTCTTCCCCGATTGCTCAGTTTGGAATGGCGGCCAGCTCTAGGAAGAGTCTTGGTGGTTCCAAACTTCTTCCATTTAAGAATGATGGAGGCCACTGTATTCTTGGGGACCTTCAATGCTGCAAACATTTTTTGGTACCCTTCCCCAGATCTGTGCCTCGACACAATCCTGTCTCGGAGCTCTACGGACAATTCCTTCGACCTCATGGCTTGGATTTTGCTCTGACATGCACTGTCAACGGTGGGACCATGTCCAATCAATTGAATTTGCCACAAGTGGACTCCAATCAAGTTGTAGAAACATCTCAAGGATGCTTAATGGAAACAGGATGCACCTGAGCTCAGTTTCGAGTCTCATAGCAAAGGGTCTGAATACTTATGTAAATAAGGTATTTCTGCTATTTATCTTTAATAAATTTGCAAAAGATTCTAAAAACCTGTTATCACTTTGTCATTATGGGCTATTGTGTGTAGATTGCTGAGGAAAAAAAGTAATTTAATCAATTTTAGAATTAGGCTGTAACATAACAAAATGTGGAAAAAGTCAAGGGGTCTGAATACCTTCCGAAGACACTACCAGTCAAAAGTTTGGACACACCTACTCATTCAAGGGTTTTTCTTTATTTTTGCAAATCTTTACATTGTAGAATAATAGTGAATACATCAAAACTATGAAATAACACATATGGAATCATGTAGTAACCAAAAAAGTGTTATATAAATCAAAATATATTTTATATTTGAGATTCTTCAAATAGCCACCCTTTGCCTTGATGACAGCCATGCACACTCTTGGTATTCTCTCAACCAGCTTCATGAGGTAGTCACCTGGAATGCATTTCAATTAACAGGTGTGCCTTCTTAAAAGTTAATTTGTGGAATTTATTTCCTTCTTAATGCGTTTGAGCCAATCTGTTGTGTTGTGACAAGGTAAGGGTGGTATACAGAAGATAGCCCTATTTGGTAAAAGACCAAGTCCGTATTATGGCAAGAACAGCTCAAATAAGCAAAGAGAAACAACAGTCCATCATTACTTTAAGACATGAAGGTCAGTCAATATGGAACATTTCAATAACTTTTAAAGTTTCTTCAAGTGCAGTCGCAAAAAACATAAAGTGCTATGATGAAACTGGCTCTCATGAGGACCGCCACAGGAATGGAAGATCCAGAGTTACCTCTGCTGCAGAGGATAAGTTCATTAGAGTTACCAGCCTCAGAAATTGCAGCCCAAATAAATGCTTCACAGAGTTCAAGTCACAGACACATCTCACTGTTCAGAGGGGACTGTGTGAATCAGGCCTTCATTGTTGAATTGCTGCAAAGAAACCATTACTAAAGGA